AATTTAAAGAATGAATTTGTAGAATATTTTTCCATATCACATTTACTCACAGGGTCATAATAAAATTTGCCGACGACATGCTTCTTCTGCTTCTCATGTATGTTAATCACATCATAGCCGGCGTAAATGCGATCACCATTGTCATCAAACGCCACCTGGCCCGTGTCGCCCGTTATGTTGCGCGTCTTCAGATACTGAAAAAGTCGCTTGCCTAAACCCGTGCATAGCAGACATTTCGCAATAGGTTAAACAAGAATGTAAGTGTGTGTGTATCAGCATTTATGTGAGTTAATAATTAATTTTAAGCAAATATAGTCTGTCTCACCGGATTCCCAATTAACACCCGAATCACCGCAATCCTTTGGCGCCTCTGTAATCGTTTCATTGGACATCATCTCCTTAATTGCCGACGCGAGTACGTAAACGCTATCCTAAAACAGTCGCAAAGTGGCAAATGAGACATTAAAAGTATGAGAATATTATATGTGAGCATGTGTCATATATAAAGTGTGCATACTGCCGGATTTTGGACAGCCTAGTGTAAACACAGGTTTTACTTTTTTATGTGTATATGATTATGTGTTATTTTAGTGGCGCTGCTTGCGGAAATCTATAAGGTGATAGTGTTTTTAGAGTAGTCTATAAGATACTAGTTGAGTAACTAACTATATTAAGAATGGTTGATCGCACATAGGTTTTCATGAGAGGGTGCTTGCGAAATATAATATGGGGGAGGTTTCATCATCTAAGCTTCCATACAAGAATTGAGAAAGATTTAAATTAAAAAAGAGCCAAAAAAAGAGAATGAATAAGATTCGTTTTTATATTTGTTAGACTAAACAAATTGTGTTAACTTTGGTGATACGATTTTATAGCAACAGAGACTAGAACTTTGCCTATCCTTAAAAACACACAACTATTTCAAGCACTCTACCCGACATTCGCAAATCGGTATCTTTGAACCAGATGTTGCTCGATGCCTACCTCACTATACGAATGTATGGTAGGTAGATGTGGACGGTCTATCTTGTGTGCTGGGTCAACACGTGAGTCATACAATTTTAATACTGTCAAGAAGCCACTTTGCGAGACTTAGACACTTATGTACCAGCGTGTGGGTGTGTGTGTGTGTGTACTTGCATGTAAACAGAAGTATGAGAATGCTGCTTTAATGCGCGTGTTAACAAACTGAATGACAGCTGCTGGATAAAAAGTGTCCTAAAAGATGTGCAGCCCTCACGTGTCATGATAAACATGTGTGTTTTCAATTCGTCAAGTCAGTTGCTATTAATTATGCGCATTCATGCTTACCCTTATGTGTTCTTTGTCGCTGTTGGCGTGCTCCAACACTAAACCCAGAACCCCAACCGGCGTGTTGTTGGCATGCAACGCCTGTTCGGTGACAATCCAAGCGTGTCCGGCTTCGGTCATGTTGTTGATTGCAGCGTCACGGAAAATAACCTGTGCATCCTCGGTGCTGGGTGGTATTAGTGCATGTTGTGGTAGATGTGTATGTGTTGAATTGATAAAAAAAAAAAAAAATGAGAAGATGCAGCCAACAGTTAAGTCACCAATGTCTTACCTCGCATACAAGAGATATACGCGCGATTGTGCAGTCTTCATGTCAATCAAATGCTCCGTAAAGCTGTCCAATTTCGGCTCGAATTCCACAATCATTTCTACGGTGGCACGCACATCTATGTCATCATAATTCGTCTGTGAGGTGGTCTGGAAGCGACCGAGTATCGCACGCCCATCCGTATCCGAACTGTGTATTATGATTACCTGCCAGTCGAAAATAATTTATATATTTTACTATGTGCGAGCATTTAAGTGCAATGGCATATTGTGCCGCAATCACTTACCTTAGTGTAGCCGAAGTGGAACATGATTTCGAGCCAAACATCCGCTTGGTGGTAATACGGCGGCACCGTGCGCAAAAAAGAAACGTGAATATTTTTATCGGAAAAGGCAGCATCACGCGAGGATATACCAATAACGGGAATCTGGTAGAATCCACTTGTATAACTGACCGCTGCCGGTGATAAGTCACCTGAGGTTTGCTCGTGCGACACAACGACGGCGTAGACCTGTTAAGGAGGGGTAACAAAAAAAACAGTAGGGCAATGTAGGATTTTTCGTTGGACTGGCAGATGCAAAAGTCGAATAAATAGAAATTTCCAAATTGTATATAGGAAATGCACTTCTAATAATTAAAGTGTAAGGCGCGAGTCGAATAAGTAACCGAAAAAACGTCGAGTCAGTTCTTCTTGGATAAGTAGTACGAATAAATATGGTGATATTTTACCAATGATTTAGTTTGTCTATACGAACTTAGAACACACTTAGGCTTTTTAAACCTCCTTAACACTGATATTTTCGAAGGCAATGCTGGGCGTTCCAACATATAGAAAAAAATGGAAGTTTATCCTCTGCTATTACAAAATTCTCAAGCAATTATTGGTCGATAAGAACAAGAAGTAGAAATGCCAAGTGAAACCCAAAATGCCATGTAGAACTTGCAGAATCTTCGGGAGCCACTCAAGCAGCCATTTCAATTCATGGCCGCCAAGCCGCCATCAAATGGAATACGGTTGCCTTGAACTGCCATATTAGTAAATAATAATTGGGTCTCAACATTGAAAAATTCCTTTAAAAAATACTATTTTTCAATAAAGCGAACATATTTTCGTACGCATCACTGAGTATTTTCGATCATTTCTGATTGATGTGTAATTTTCCGAAGTGTTTATAAACTAATATTTTTTCGCAGTTGAAAAAGCAAACAAAAACTGCTATTGGCTAGCTTCGGCAAAACATTTCATATTTTTCATTAAAACTGCAGCATGATTTTATATGAGAACTTCAACACCATCAATCAAACTTTGCCGCATTTTGAACGACACGAGCACTTCGCGATGGAAACCCCCAATGTGCGCATAGAACTGCGTATAATCTCTTATCTTTTCAACCTATATATCTTTCCTCTATTTTTTTCGCCTTAGCAAAGTTGCAGCGCACTACTTACACTGCCGCTGGAGGAGAGATGTACCTATATTGACCATTCCACTGCCTGCAGCACGAATGTTTATTTGATCAACTACATAAACATCATCTTCTGCAAATTGCGAATATCCACAATATTGGGCGCCGCAGTTACATCGATCGTACTGCTCATAATTATCTGCCTTTATTTCATCATTTTCGGTGCTGCTGCAGATTTGTTGTAAGTTTGTGTAGAACCAAAAAGTCTGGCATAAAGTGCAATGGTATGGAATTTATATAAAAGTTGCGTATACGCCTCGTTGTGCCACAATTAAACTTTTAACAGCGTGTGTTTTTTGATATGTCCCAATGGATTTTTTACAAAATGTCTTCAACTTAGAATGACACAGTGGTTTTGCCATTCGTGAGGGACGACTTGTATATGAACATTTTGTATTCGTTAATTACAAACTTTAAAAACATCAGTAACAAATACTGAATGTATCAATTTTTCAGAAAATTTTTAATATATAATCCCAATTACTCTTCTCTTTTTGCCACTAGCTTTTGTCCTGCTCTAGCGGTGCTCGCACGCATGTTAAGGATGAGTGAAAATGTTGCTGGTGTTACATTGGTCGCTTTTGGTAATGGGGCTCCCGATATATTCAGTAGCCTAGCTTATCTCGAAAGCAACACTCATCGATTGTACGCAGATATTTTCGCTTCCGCACTCTTTGTGGTTCTCATTGTGGCTGGCGTTATTTTTTATGGTTTTCCATTTGCGGCACAACCCTATTTACTGTTACGCGATGTGCTCTTCCTTCTACTTGATATTTGTGTTATCGATTTTATAATTAAGAAAGATAATGCTCTATCCTTGATTGATAGTGTGAGTGAGTATATCTAAGTCCTTATCTATATTTATTTGTATATTCTATTTTTGTATTATTTTGGTATTTTAGTCACACTTTGCATTTACTTTTGCTACTTATTTGTGGTTATATTTGATCAGTATCTAGTGCGACGTGCTACAAAGAGTAAGTTTTTAAAAGGTCAATGTGTATATAACTTATTTTATATTTTTTGTATTTTAATATTTTTGTTTGTAGTATTGCAGTTCAGGAGGAATACCTTGAAGAGGCTCTCTAATATGGGTAACTTAGCAAATAATAAATGACTAAATGTGTGTATGTGTTATGGAAGTAACACAGACAGCACTTTAAAAATAGGCTGACGAAGCCAAAGTGTTGTAGAGTACTACTAGTAAGCGGTAGGCCATCAAGCAGAAACAAAAACAAGACAAAAAGTTAACTTCGGCTGAACTATAATAGAAAAGCTATAATAGAGAAAAGAAAAAAATGTATTTTATGGAGATCTCTATTTCGAAGATATCTTCTTAAAAAAAGTTTTACATACAAAAAGTTAATTTTGATCGGTTAGTTTGTATAAGCTAGATTTATTATATATATTCATATTTATTTAGAAATCTCTCCTCCTCCTCTTTAAAATCATATGCCACACTACTTTGTACTGAGTGATAAATACCGCCCCGATATAAATATATGTATCTACATATATCACACGTAAGTTTGAAAATTTAATAATTTATACCATTTCCGTACAGAACTTATTCGTCTCAATGATCTACGCACACAAGGTGCGATTCGGCAGCAAAAGAAGTTGTCTTTTCTGGATCATCGCGAACCAAGTATCATGTATACAGATTCGGTTGTTTCGACCTTACCAACACTTTGGCAACAATTCTATCTAAGCCTTAAGCCATATGATGAAATCGAATGGGAAAGAAGCAAAATGCCGATGAAAGGCTTCATTATATTGCGTTTGCCTATATTGGCTATACTGAAGATATTCATACCAATCACCGATCAAGGAGAAGAAGGTCACGGCTGGTCGCGGCTCTTGAATTGCGCACAAATGGTGTTATTGCCATCGTTTATTTGCTACGCTACCCGTAAGCGGTACATTACTATTCGTCTTGCTTTGATGTGAACATTTGACTTTCTTTTTAGTGAGCAAGTATTCGCTATTTGGCTTACCCATTTTCGTATGGTCTATTTTGTTAGCACTTCCAATGGCATTAATAGTGTTTATAAAAACGGCCACGAATCGTACACCTCTTTATCATCAGGTAACTTATTACTTATGAATATATGTATGTACTTATAAGTAAGCTAAATTTTTTGAAAAATAACTGACTTCAAACTAGCGACTTTAGGTAGACTTTCTTAGCAGCAAGATTTTCTAAATACACACTATGGTGGCATTATTCGTATACGATCGTTTATGTACTATTTCGCTATTATTTAAATTAAATACACAGTCTGGCGGCTTTAAAATTTCAAGATTGTGCTTTTGAAACTATGAAGTGTCTAACTATAGAAAATCTATAAGAATACGAATATTGCGTAAACTATATAATTTTAAGGGTATGAGTAATCATATAACTAATGCAATATATCCGTATGTTCTCAATTTCTGTCCGCAGTATTTCTCCATTCTTAGCGTTGCTGGTTCGATATTCGTTGTACGCATTTGCTGTGCAGAGATCGTCAATGTGCTCGCAGTCCTCAGCATCTTTACTGGTTTAAGTAGTTCCTTTTTTGGTGTCACTCTTTTATCTTGGGCAAATAGCATAGGTGACTTAATTGCTAATCAATATTTGGCGCGGCAAGGCTATCAGAACATGGCACTCGCCGCTTGCTTCGGTGGACCTCTATTCAGTGAGTTAAATACATATATACATCGGTTTTGATGTGTATTTATTTGGTAAAATTTTCTAGATTCTTTACTTGCGGTTGGCTCAACTTTGTTATATAAGACTCTAACATATGAGGACTTTTTGATTAAGGTAATTGAAAAAATATTTATGTAATCTTTATGCAGTAAAATCTTCAATTTTATTTTTAGGAATTTGGCGAAGGTGTAATGGGCGAGAATTGCACTATATTCCTTATAATTGGCTTGTTTGCCATTTTACTGGGTGCTCTCACCACAGATTTCTATTTTCGCCCCAGTTTCGGTGTTTATGTTATAATTATGTATTGTAGTTTTTTCTTATATAATATTCTTGGTGAATTTAAATTCATACATCCATATGGCACCGATCATAGAATGGATCAGGCTATCGAACCGGAACTTTAATTAGTAAAGAATGTGTTATGCCATACTTACTACTATTTATATAAATATATGGCGTTAAATGTAAAATTCTTATATCTTTGTTACAAACGTCTACTTACGCGCTTCTCGATCAGTTTATCGCAAACATTGAACACAGTTTTTATTGGATTCTTATCCATTCGTATTGTCTTGTCGTAGTAGGTGACTTTGCGTGGCACATATTGCTGGTCAAAGTTCAGATGCTGTGAGAATTTATACAAAATATGAATACTTTATGCGTAAAGACATTTGCGCGACTACCTGTACCGACTTACCGATATTATTGTCCGGAAGTGTGACTCGCTTTCTGGATCCGCCAATACCCCGCCAATATTGTATGTTGAGGGATTGTCCGAGTGTTGAATGTGTTTTTGCGCTATAACTCCTAAATGTATACCACAAAAAAGTAGATACACCGCACTTATTCCGTTGAATAGAATCATGTTTGATAAAAGCTGCTGCGTGTATGAGTGCAGTCAGGACTTTTAATTTAGAATCATTTCTGGAAGTACTGTAAAAAAAGAAAGCACTGTAGCATGTTTTTTAATTATACTCGTATAAAGTTGTGTCGATTGCCCAAGAACAACAATTTGTCAAAAGTGTTTTAACGCATAATGCCAAAATCAGCCGTTTTGTTCGATATTGTTTTGTGATTCTAATTGATTCTAAAATAGAATAGATTGTAAATCACACAAAATCATCAAAATGTAAACAATAATATCATGAGCAGATATTGCTTCGCGTCCCAATTTTATAAACAACACTGTAACTCAACGGCGGAGCATTTTAAAGAGAGCGGCGTAGCGATTAACTCATCTGATCCACTCACGAATTCGCTCTCACTTAACAAATTGAGCACTGTTGCGATCATATGTTTTTGACAATTCACCCATTCCGTGACATTCTGATTGGACAAATTGCTTTTCCGTCGTCACTGAACCACTTGTTGGATTTTGCTGTTCCGTCTCGGTACAATTTTCACTTCGATATTTCCCGGTAAAATTTCGTGTTTCCGCAGTAAAAATATGCTTAGTTACTAGGTGATTACGGAAATATATTGCGTGATTACATATTTGTTGTGAAATCGCTAGTTAAACTATGAAATTCAAAGCAGTTGTATGGCAGTCGAGCGGGCGTGTGTGTGTGATATAGTGAATGCCTAAAAGCCAGTTCGCACGGTACTGGTACACATATACATCCATATATAAGTACAAATATATAAGTAAAAGAAAATCTACAAGTGTTAACCAAGCCTCAAAGGGCTATCAGAGATACAAATATATAATATACACTTATATATATACATGTAATATATAGAAAATATTTTGTGAAATATCTCACAAAGCTACAAATGAACGATTGTATGCTGTATTGCAAATGTTGCAGTTTAAGTGAAAAACGCTTTCTGAGAACGAGGTGGGTGTGTTAGCGGCAAGTCAGCTGGAACGTAACCGGGTCACTTTCGACATAGCCATAATATGGCGACGACAAACACATATTCACGGAATTATTTTTCTCTAACTAGATATGTTGTTTTGTTTATGTGCCACACATTCGTCATTTGCCGCGTTTGTTCCACCATTCGTTCTGTGAGCGTTTATTTTTAAATTCAAAGCAAATACTACATTGATCACTTGCATTGTTTTGTTTATCGTAGCTTCTGTGCCTTAAGTGCAAAAATGAAATAGCAAAAGTAGCTTGGGAGATCTGTCCGGTAAATAACATACATTCAAGTTTTCAAGTGCAATTACTTTTGTGTTAAATAATAATTTTAAGTAATAAAGTTTCCATAAATATTCATTCCATAAACATTCCAAACCAACCTCAACAATTGGCAGAACACTTTAAATAAAATACATTGTAAGTATATGTGCATTTCCAACATTTTTTCCTGTTTTGTTAAAAAGTTTGTGGGCGTGACAATACTATTATTCCGCCCACCTGGAATACCCAACTCCCTTAGTTGTTGGAATCTTGAATGGATAATCCAAAGGGTTCATATAGGCCTTAGCCGAAATGCTCATTTAAAATTTAAGTTCTCAATCGACTGATGGCTTCTCAGAGCGGATGTTTATGTTTCCTTTGTTCTACATCTCTTAATCATTTAAAGTTGGAGTGGACTAAAAATCAACAGACCCCGAATAAAAGCATATATTCGGTGCATATTAGGCTGTGTAATTTTTAAGCGACTTTTATTTTTCAACAAAAAAAAGCAGACTAAAAACTTTCAAGTAAGTAAGAAAAGGAGCGCCTTAAGATTTGAACTCTTAACATTATTATTTTCGGTTTCTATTTTCCATTTCCATTTTCCATGGAAAAAAAATATATCTTTCTAAATTAAGGATTGTAAAAATAGACTCAAAGAGTATTCTCACAGGAAATTTTACGCTTTGCAAAAACTCTCTGATAACTTTTTCCATACAGTGAACCATTGTAAAGATATTTATACTTAAAAATCTAAATACAATATATGAAATTATGATTTAATTTTTTTTTCACTTCTTCGAAAGTAAAAAGTAAGCCTTTTTTAATTCAAAATCAAGAAAAAACATCAACGCACTGAAGCTAGAATACCCTTCACAAATAAAAAAGTTTCATTCAAATATATATATATATTTTTTTTTTATAAGGAATCCCACGTTTTCTTTTGGGTGTTAGAAACATTATAAAAATTCAATATACCTTGTTGAGAGTATAAAAATTTAAGTTGACTAAAAATGGCACTGCCTTATGTACATACCTATAAGTTTACATACAAAGTGGTGCCGTAGTACATTATTTCCAGAATTTAGCCATATAAGACATTTGCTGAGCGCTCACGTGTTAAAGCCAGCTACAGATATTCGAGTTCATCTTGGTGTCACCACATTGATTGTGTATTTATTTATATACTTGTACATTTTTATTTATTTTCATTCACATGCTGTACGTTAGATATTTTCAGTCTGAACTTTAGCTTTTACTTTACACCTTAACTTGCTTGGATTTGTACGAATTTCGAGAAATGTTACCAAATTTTCAAAATTTGTTCCTAACATTGTCATATCTTGGTATCTCCCATGAGGGGGCCCGCTTTCAACAGCCCATACAATATGTATGTACCTATATTCGTTCACATTCGTGTGTAATGTTAATTTTAGTGTTGATGCACAGCTTGCGTGCTGGTAGCGTGCATCAGATGGCGCACTAACACACTCACAGCTACTATTTTTTAGCATTGAAATACAACTAAATTATAATCTATACAGACGTAGAAGCGATTTATTTTCTCGGATGAATGCGCATTCATATTAATTTGCTCATGCATACATATACCAATATATACAAATATACTTTGCCAGCACAGTTCAGTTCAGTTTGTCAATGGGCAATAAATTGAAATATCGGCAAACACTGCTGGTTGCTTTATCGGTTTTGGCGTTCCAATTAAGGGACACATCTGGTGTGAAATTTAAAAAAATAAAATTTTTTTTCTTTTTTTTTCTGTAAGCTCTGTGTATAGTTCTTCATGCAACAATCTAGCAGTTTTTCGATTTGAGAATTTTGGCAGGCCAAAAAGGGACCAACATTTTGAGTTAAATTCACTTTTTTTTGAATCGACGTCATTTTATCAATTTTTGAGCGTTGGTCATTGCACAAAAGATATCTTCTAGGGGGCAGTGGAAAACCGTTTTTTAGCGCCGTCGAATTAGGAAAATTCTACGTTAGTAAAAATGTTCATGTAGTAAAGAATCATCGAAACTTAATTTTGGCACTCTCGTGAATCCTCGACATATTCAAAAGTAAATTTTTACTTTCTATAGAGTTTTTATTTGCATTTCGCTCATCTCTGCCCAGTGTGCATTAATTAAAGCATGCATATTTAAATTAGTGTGTGGAGAAGCATTATTTATTATTTATTATTAATTTTTTTTTGTTTTTTTGTTGTTGCTGGCATGGCATGGTAGACACGAGTATCAATTAGTATTGTTGTTAATGATTGTACAGATTTTGTGTCTATATTTAGCTCAATTAAACTTACAATTACAAATTACTGTGTGTAAGCAACTGCACATGTGTGTCGGCATATGTACATAAGGCAACTAAATTATTATTTTGAGGTTAATTGACTTATGCTCTTATTTTGAAAGATATAAAGACGCTCAATAAAAGAAAAACCAATCGAAACATATGTTGAATCATTGAATCTGCTATTGACTCAGTTTAAATGGCAACTATATGCTATAGTGGTCCGATCTGAACAATTTGTTAGGAGATTTTAAACTTCTAGAAAGCTTCTCCTGTTCTGGGTAAAATAATCGAGAAAATTTAACGTTTAATCACAATTTGTAGAGCTTCCTTCGTAATAATTGACCACCGATTAAGTGTTTTTTGCTCAACTTTTATATTTTAAAATATATTTTTACTACCAAAAGAAAACATTAAATGCACTTTTTGACACATGCAAACGCAGAACACAAATTTGTTTTAATAAATTTACTACGAAAATGCATGATGCATATAGCAAAAACTTAGTAAAAAAGAAGCAAAAGGAAATGTCGTTGATGAGCAACACAAAGAGAAAAGGAGGTAAAGAACCGGACGACATCCCAGCGACAATAACAACGCAACGTCTATTGTGCCAATATGACCTGATCCACTGCAAGAAGATAGAGTGAAAACCTAAAGCAAATCATTTTTTAATTAGAATCAAAGGCTTTAAAGAATTCAGTATAAACACAAACTACTTGAAATCCAGCGAAGAGAGCAGACATGCAATAGTCACTAAAACAGCTAAATTTGATAAAGTAGAGCGACCCGAAACAAACCCATGCAGATTGACGGTAATGAGTGATTTAACTACTAACAGAGCACTCGAAAATTTTGGAAATGGTTGAGAGTTTGGAAATAATTCGAGACTAAATTCTTTTTACCACCTTTGAAGATAGGGGTAATGAATGTCAATTTCCAGTCTGCAATAAAGTCACCTGATGACAAAGACTTATTGAAGACAAGCACGAGATGATAAACAAAGACAGCACAATTTTTATAAGTACGTGCGGCAACTCATAAAGATCAATTTTGAAAGGAGGCTTGTTATCACAAATAGTTTTGGCAATATCATCTTGCGAAAGGCACAGTGTGCCAAAATTTACTGATAACAAGTAAAGAAGGGCTAAGTTCGGATGTAACCGAACATTTTATACTCTCGCAAAGTCAAATGGTATACTCGTTTGAGATTTCTTTGTGGATTGACTGATATTTTCGGTAGAAGGTCAACTATAGGCACTGGGGTCCACATATTTAGTACTTAGGGGTTTGAACAGTTTTGGTTCGATTTAGACAATTTTTGGCCGCAAGGTGGCATACTTTAATTGCATTATTCACGCAAAGTTTTACCCCGATATAATCATTGTTACCTGATTTGCATAGTGGAAAGTGAAAGAATCAGATGGAATTGAAAATGGTGTTACATGGGAAGTAAGCGTGGTTGTAGTCCGATTTCGCCCATTTTCGCACTATGACATAGAAACATAAAAAGAACGTTATGCACCGAATTTGGTTGAAATCGCTTGAGCAGATCTCAAGATATGGGTTTTCACCTAAAAGTGGGCTGTGCCACGCCCACTGACTAATTTTTAACGTGGTTCCTATAAAGCCAGTTTATACCATCTCAGAGATAAAAGTTAATGTCTCTGGCGTGTTTAGTGCTTGATTTATCGGGCTTTTAGTAGTTTTTAACAGTACCGTTATATGGGGAGTGGGCGGAGTTGCCACCCGATTTCAACTATTTTCACACCGTCAATAGAAGTGCTAAAAATATTTGCTTCCAGTGAATTTTGTTATTATAGCATTAGCGGTTTAGGAGATATGCACATTAAACCTGTTAGAGGCGGGACCACGCCCACTTTTTAAAAAAAGTTTCAACTGCAGATGCCCCTCCCTAATGTGATCCTGTGTACCAAATAACAGTCTTGTATCTTATCCAAGAAACATGTCTACCAAGTTTCATAAAGATATCTCAATTTTTACTCAAGTTAGAGCTTGCACGGACGGGCGGACGGACAGACGGACGGACGGACAGACAGTCACCCGGGTTTCAACTCGTCTCTTCATCCTGATCATTTATATATACATAACCCTATATCTAACTCGATTAGTTTTAGGTGATACAAGCAACCGTTAGGTGAACAAAACTATTATACTCTGTAGCAACAGGTTGCGAGAGTATAAAAAGTTGTTATCGGAAAAAGTAGAAGTAGTTCCAAGCTCGTCATGTACATAATTAGATTTGAAGAATTCAGCAAACAAGTTTAAGGAGAATTGTTATAATTATATTAACATATTACTGAAACACATAGTTGGTGAAAAGAATCATCATTATTAAGTAATATTAAATGAGGATGAAATTAGCGATGAACTGCTAGAAGGATACCATCACCTCTAAGGCAGCCAGTTTTTTCGAAGTCTCTATCCTTACGGAAGACAAAAAAGAAATTCGTATCGAGATACTCACTGACATAGCAACTAGAATTAAGCCAGGTCTCAACAATAACGAAAATATCAAAATCCAAAAGAAAATGTACGATTATATTTGATTTAGACCTAATACCAGATACATTTTCTATAATAGACCTAAAGACAAGACACTAGGGGAAGGTATAGAAAACGGACGAGCAAAATTATGATTAACAGAGGCATCAACTAGTCTGCAGCTTTGTTTTCCCCTCTCTTTGGAAAAACTTAAAAGGGCGCAGCTTGTTACCAGATGGCCATACTGAAGAAGAAAAAACGGCATTAAAAAAAGGTAGGAATACACCTAGCTTAAAATTTACCCTTTTAAGATTATTAATATCAGTCTCTTTTTTTAACAAGTTTATAACAAAAAATATGACGTCTATTAGCATTAGCATGTTCAACAACGAAAAATATAATCTCTTCCTCATTAACAGAGTTGTAAAGGCAGACAAATTAATCCATTCCACAAACAACAGTTGAAGCAGCCGAAGATTTTTTTTCCTAGTGCTCACTGTTGATTTCAAAGTTCCATTAGTTTTAATTGAAGTCGAAGAGTTCGGATTAACAGAATCAGCTACGGTATCATTTTCCATAAATATTGCTCGAATATCCATATTTATCTTCTTTGGCATACACATAAACACATTGCCGACAACTATTATTTGCAAAGAATAGACAAAATTTTCTCTTCCAGACTCAATTAAGCAAATAAAGATTCATTTCATTTACTACTTGTGCTGCTTTCTATTTTGCTGTCCCCTCCAGATCTTCAACGCTTCGCCTAAAATCGCATACACCAAGGCAGGCCCCTACCGACACTGGTTTTAACAAATTGTGAGCATTTTCAATTTTTGTATTTCTATAATTTGCGGAGATTGTAAGTAGGTATTGACATACTACATAGGTATGTAAGTATGTACGCATTTAGTTGGCTGTAGGCTGTATCCTTAGTCACGCAAATTGCTGTGGGCCCTTCTGAAAAATGTTGATGTTTAATTATAGGCTGTTGGCAAGCAAAAGTTGCTGGAACAACAGATACACACACACACATATATTTTGTATTATTTTCGAGCTTGCATATTTAAAGCGTTGAATAAATAATGAACATTTAAGAATCTGTCACTTCTATTAGCCCATTGATTTATTTGATTGCTGAATTTTATTTCCTCATCTACAAAGAATTCTTAGGTTATGTTTGAAGGTAGGAGGTATTCCGCGATTAAAGTAGACGAAACCTGTGTGTGCAGAAAAGGCGTGTAATGCTTCGTATAGTTTCATCAGATATTTGACAAAAGTGTCAGTGGAAAAGTTTTTTTTTTCGAACTCGATATCAAAATCTCTTAAATCTTTAAAAATTTGTTAGGCTAGAAAACCTGTAACTGATATCAATACATTTTCTTCGAAATCTGGCATTAACAAACGCCTGATTCTAATTTCCCGACAGGATTACATTCGCGTGATACGCTATCATCACAAATAGATTTTAGACTTATGAACACTTTCTTTTTGGTGCACACCCCTATATAGTATATGTAGAATATATACGTACATATGTACATATTTGTTTGTACATGTGTAGTCTTAAGAGCATCGTACTCTAGCATCCCAATAATAGTTATATACATATATGTCAGTGTGGGGGCAGTGACAGTCGCTATTGCTTGGTATAGAAAATATTTTTGGGTGTGTTACTCTGTGTTAGATAAAACTTTCACTTTATTTGAAATCAATTTCCTTCAGCTTTTTCATATGCGCAAAGCAAACTCGGATTATCACATATTTATTATATCATATATACAAATCTACATATATTTAATTGCGTGTGTTTAATTTTTATAATTTTACAAAGGAAAAAGGAAAATTTTTAAATGATCTTTTTCTTAACTTGCTGGAACAATATTTGTTCTATTTGTGTAGGCATGAAGCTTGTAGATACACCAAATAAATAGGCACTCGCTACACTTCACTTCACTTTCGTTTGTTAAATGTGTTATACTGAATATGTGATAATATATGTTTAATGCAAATTATTCCAAATTTCCTCTACAAGTAATTTTCACAACTTTTTCGAATATGTATCATTACATATACATGCATTCACCCACCACCCACCACCATGAGTAGCATATTTGCAAAACAATGGAATTTTCAAAGCACTTTTTAACTAAACGAGTATAACACTTACGTATCCGCTCACGTTTACGCCAACAACTTCGCTATGCCACTGAAGTGAATTCCTTAAATGCCATCAATGTGCGCCTAAAATCCTTAACATCCTGAAAAAGTTTGTGCTTGATAGCTTTTATATACTGAAAAGCTCTCAGAATGTGAGCAGCTTTTCGTGCTTTCTGCTAAATTAAATGCTTTTTTTTCTCAAAACTTGATTGCTCTCTACATTTTTGTCTCTTGAATTTCAACTTTCGCTTTTATCATAACTTGTGTTTTGTGGCAACAGCTGTTCATCGCCTTCTTATCACTTATCACTCGACCATCTATCAGTTGATTAGTCATGCGCACGTGGTTATTTCTCACACACGTGCTTCTCTTTCTACTGATAAGCGTGCTGTGCACAAGCATCTATAATTTCGATGGATAAAGACAACGTTGTGTTGTGTTTCCGTTGTTTATTGTTTACATTGTGCCGGCAAAGCTTTTGAATGAATTCGTGTATATGTATGCATGTAAAAGAATATGTTCGAGTGCTCTATATGTAAATATGTTGAATGTATACAAAGCGACATGACTGGTTGTGGTACAACCTTCCCATTATGTTTTCACAAATTATAAGGAGAAATAAATTCATCAAGTTAGGCTAACTAAGTTTAGAGTGAGGAATCACCGAAGACGGTTTTGATCGATTACAATAGTTGAACATCTATTTTTGCCATAGATTTCGTAAAACCGCACTAAATAAGATGGTTTTCACAGAGATTTTTCACATTAGCTGAATTCTGTTTGGAATTACTTTTGTAGGAGTGTTGTATATATAAAAAAGGAAAAAAAGATAATTATCTTCTATCATAAATTGTTATGTTTAAATCCGCCAAACTTGAGGATCTTTTAATCCGGGCCACATCTGAAATTTTGGTTTGCATAGTTGTACGAATTTAATTGATTTTTTGTCATGCGCATTTTTGAAGGAGTTAATCTAACAAATAGTCTTCGCTCACAATCTTCATAAGTCGGTATTTTTTTCATACTTGGGGTCTCTAACATGGATTTTCATTTAATCCGTCAGAGAGTTTTATCTTTTACAATTATTAAACCCTGAATGGAGTATATTAAGTTCGTCACACCGCGAAGGACACGTCGGCGACCCTATAAAGTACCTACAGACATGTAGACATGTCCGTCTTTATGCTATACGCGAACTAGTCTCTCAGTTTAATTTTGCACATGCTCCGCCGCCGATATGAACTTCAATAGTATATATATATAGCTACCATAGAAACTGAACGATCAAAATTAAATATTCTACTATGATTAAAAACTTTTATTTTACAAGATATTTTCATAAAATTTGGCATGGATTATTTGTTATTTATAAGCCCGAACAAAGGCACCTGTATACATATATTTATGTATGTACGAGTACATATCTATATGGCCGCTAAATTTCATGAGATGCTAATTACCATATCAGACTCCTATAAAAAATTATGCAATTACGTTGAAATTCAAATGAAAATCATATTTTGTGTAAATATTTATTTAACTATTTTGTTTGTGTTTGCATGGCTAACCGCAAGAACGTGTGAAAGCGCAATAAATTAGCTCATATATAATAATATTATGCTATGCTACATAGCCTACAACAAAAACAAGCAACAACTACACTTTAAGTCATTTTCGTAAATAAATAGAAGTCATTAAAATTCCTCGAGAACAACTAACAAAAAAAAAAAAACGAAAAAAAGGAAAGAAGGAAAGAAGAAGAATACAGAACAAGCACAATAGAAAATCACAACAGTATTGACCGCTAATTATTAGCTGAATGTATATTTGTATTGAATACGTTGATAGATATTTGTATGTATGAATCCAGTTTTTGGACTTCTAAAAAGTAGCCGAAAACATTACCAAATGCAAATGAGATCCACGTATGAAAATGAGAGTGAGAGTATTTATTTAGATAAAGTGGAGTGGCCAGTAGAGCTTTCACTCTTGCGCGCAAATGCGCCCGCCGGCGACTGAGTGCCCATTAAACTCCCTACAAACCAACTTAAGCCAACAATTCCCTAAGCTACTACTCTTTTACTGTATTATAGGTATAGGTAACAGCAGTCAGGAAGACAGTGTGGCAAGAGCGCATAGCGCTTCTGCGCCTCTACGAACTTTTGAGTGAAATTCTAAATGATTTGCGCTCAATAACTGCACGCGTAACGCTTTTGCATAGCTTTTCCTGTGACTTTAGCTGGCTGGTTTACAGACGAATTGTTGTTCTGTTGAGGGGTCTCATTTTCATTTCAGTTCGAGTCGGAAGCGGACGCGCGTCACCTATCGCCCTCGCCGTCACAGACACATTCACAGACAGGCACACACACTCAAATACCTTAAGAGGGTGCGCGCGCGAGTGAGTGGGTCAGTTCAATGTTCGGCGTTTAGACGTAGCGTAACGATAATTTTTTTCTTTTGAACAACACAATTAAAATTTTTTTCGCGCATCGTTTGTTTGCTTACTTTTGATGAGTGCGTCAGATTTTTCGACCGCTGCCAGTGTAATTTTGCGGTCGAGGATTTGTTTATTTCAACGCAACGCTCCACAAACCGAAACGGACGTCGTGTCGGGCCAAACGTGTGGAATAGCAACACAGCAGCATCATTAGTATATTACCTGGTAAATTTTTCACAACCCAATTTGAGTGATGGTATTACAATTCGAGTGTAAATATGGATTTTAAAATTCCCATACAAAGCAATTAAAACAAAAAATCATAAAAATTATGTGAAATGTTGTAACAAGAAGCTTGTTGAGACAGTTATGCTTCTGCAGGAAGTCAGCTAGTGTTACATATGTACATACATACATGTACATATTTATGTATGGCCTTGAATATTTGATGCGATAATCTTAAAGTGTATAAGTCGAGTTTACGAAGCTGTGCTCCAAATCTATTATTTTATAAGTGTATATGTATATGTGTGTAAAAATCAAAAATCAAATTTCGTTCTAAATGGCATCTCCGTGCGTGATAAGTGCTATAAATCAATCAGAAGCAATTAATTTCCAATAAAAAATTATACACATGAAATTCGCGTTCATGATCAAAGGTGAAATCGGTGCGCATGTGAAAGGGTGGGAGCGTATATGTGGTTCACTAAAATCATATGCAGCTCTACAAATTTTGATGTAGTAAAATGTTTTAAGCGTATGTATGTATCTATGCAAATATGTATGCACATACATATGTACGTTTGTATATACATATTTGTATTATTGAGAAAGAAATATGTGATGAAACTATAAGCCAATTAATGGTTAATCAAATTTAATTGAATTTGAAATAAATTTATTTTATGACTTTTTAATGCACATATTTTATTTGCCTGGCAAATGTTTGTTCTAAAATTAGTAACACATACACAAATGCATACATCTATGCACTCAGTAACAAAAATATGTGTACAAGTAATGGGAAATATATATTTTTATTGCGAATCTGCGATTATACAAATAATAACTAAAGGATCATCACCAAGCCGAACAATACAGAAAATGCACCGAAATATACAAATAACAAGAAAAGAAGAATGTTAACTTCAGTTGCACTGAAATCGTAATACCCTTCACAAATAAAAACGTGTCAATAACTTGATTTATATTTGATTCTTGCCAAATTTCTTGAATATATGTGATTTTGATTGAATTTCCACATTCTGAAACAAAAGAAGATTTTAAGCCTTTAAAATACAATAGTATTAAAATATTTAATAGGAATCAAGACTTCCTAGTTGTACTATGTTTGTCAATGTTGAAAAATATGAAAGTCTATCAGTTATATTTGCAACCTAAGCAAACCAAATTTTCAGCAAAATTTATAAAGTAAAATATATTATAGACATATGTTTATTTCTTCATTAAGTACTAACATATTGTAATTTTTTGCCTACGTTTATTATATATTTTGACGTCGACTGTCACTTATTCGGAAGCTGCATGAATTTTGGTTACTCGGCACTCCGTTGGCTCATCGTTGTTGTCGTTTATGATGTTTTTATTCATTTAATAATGACATTACAGTTTAACATTGTATCTTTTGTACATGTGGGGTGGTAATCGACAGCTGCAGTTGTTAGTGTATCTACGCCTGCTTGATAGGCTGCCTAGACTATATGTCTCCTTTGCTCACAACGCCGACCAGACCCTAAAATTATCCAGTTGGCGCGTGGCAGCGCTCTTATAGCTCACCATTCTCCGCACATATTTAAATGGAGAGTCGAGCTCGCGCTCCCGCCGCATATGTCCCCTTTTTTATACTCTTGCAACATTTTGATACAGAATATAATAGTTTTTTTCACCTAACGGTTGTTTGTATTACCTAAAACTAATCGAGTTAGAAATAGGGTTATATATATGGCTGACTGTCTGTCCATCCGTCCGTTCGTGCAAGCTGTAACTAGAGTAAAAATTAAGATATCTTGATAAAACTTGATACACATGTTCCTTGGCACCAAGGTTGGGTATTGTAAATGGACGTAATTGGACCACGGGCACGCCAACTATGCCCATAATTAAGATATAAACCTGACATCTTGGTAAAAAAATTGTTTTATAATGGTTGCCCTGACCATTAATAAGGTTAATGTATATATCTCCAAATACTTTTCGTTCGACAGTGTGAAAATGTATGAAATCGGATTTTAACCACCCCACTCTCCATATATTGGTTTTGTTAAAAACTACTAAAAGTGCGATGAATCAATAAATAAGTTAAATGCGTCAGAGACATAAAATTTTACATCCAAGATGGTACAAGTGGGTTTTATAGGAGTCGATGTCAAAATTGGACGATGGGCGTCGCACCGCCCACATTTTGGTGAAAACCCATGTCTCAGGACCTACTTGACCAATTTCAACTAAATTTGGTACATAACATTATCCTAACAATCCTATCTTACAGTGTGTGGAATCGGACTACAATCTCGCTTACTTCCCATACAACACAATTTTAAATCCGATATAATTCTTACACTTTCCAGTATATAGATCAAGCATCAAAGAATATAGTTATCGGGACAAAACTCTGCACAAATAGTTCCTTTGAGTTATACCATGTCAAGTCTAAATAAATCGGACCATAACTGTGAGGACTTCTCAGTTACCGAATACGGGGACTCCAGTGTGTGGTGCAAACTTTTTACCAGAAATGTCAATCTGTGAGATATATTATTGAAATTGGAAGATAGTCTCTTTCTGAATAGTATGCCTGTATGTTAAAAATGGATTAAATCGGGTCAATACTTTGACTTTGATACTTTGGGTATAGCAATAAAATTAAGTTTAAGTTAATGATCTTCAATTTAAGTCAAGAAGATATCAAATTGTATTGTAATTTATTCACGATTCCTTCGAATAATGAAGTCTAAATTCTTTCGCACCATTTTTTAATATTGTCAGCACATGAAGGCATTAGATCCTTACAAGTTGCAAGAGTATAAAATATTAGGTTATACCCGAACTTAGCACTTCCTTACTTTTTATGTTTGCTTCCTGCAACTCTGCCCGGCATCCTTCAGCAGTTTGCTTTCGCCGCTCTTTCATTACTTTCATTTGAAATTCCAACATACATATCTACACTTTGACCTAAAAACTATCATACATACACGTGTGTTTGTGAATTTTAATATTTTACGAATATTTTATGTTTATGCAAGCGAGGCTGAGGTTTGTGACTAGTAGAAAAAAATAGTAAAACCGTTATAGTTTTTTTTTTCAATTTTATTTTTCTTAAAACTATTTCGCTTTGTGTTGAATGAGGTCATAAAAATGTGTATTCTATTTACCCTGCTGACCGACTTTATTAAAATAATATAATTAAGTACATAATACACTTAAATGTATGTACTAATGGTAGATAATTATGTTAAGTGTTTACTCAGCATATACCTACATACATGCAGCCTCTCATCGAAGTTCTCCTTGTAATGGTAATGTGCTCCCTACAAAGGACCAAATGCCACTGCTTACTTCTGCCTTTCTGAACACGAATTTGATTGACATACGCAAAATTCAATTTTCACCCCTCCTATTTTTAGTTGCAAGAACTTTGCTGCGACTGTGCGGAAACTCCTATATAAATACATATTATGTATTATATTTGTGAAGGTATGTATATATATCCATTATGAAAAGGGCAAGTGCCATTTGTTGACAGACAAGAGAAAGTTTCAAAAATAATTTTACTTCTAAATATATATATGTATACTTATTCCTCACTCTCTCGAGGTTTGGAAATGAATTGCGGTCAACTCAAAAAATGTTAATACAAGAATTGATAGAAGTAAAGCCGGGTTATTGGCTTGACCTTGTCAACCCATCATTAGACTTAAACTTAATATATTGCTAGGTGTTAAAATCCAAATACCTTTAAAAATAGATATATAAAATAAAAAAAAGTTTAGCATACAAAAATAAGAGTAGTGCGATTGCGACAGACGCTCTTAAAGAGAAATATTGTATAAGCAAACTAACTTATGTCAACAATTAGCTTGGTTCTTAGCTAATCATTTAAAAGAATGTTCTTCAGCATTTTATCATAAAAGGTTGGTTTTTTGTTTTGGAAATATAATATAGCCATATGCTGATAGATCAGGCGAATAGGGGTCAAAATAAGGTCCTTGCATGGAAAAAATTCTATTTGCAAAGACATCGACACAAAATTTGGAATAGATTATTGTCTAAGGCATCGCCACAATCTCCGAATGTACTGTTCAGATCGGGTAACTGCAGCTGTTATACAAATTGATCCTAAAGTTCTTTAAGGATATAATTTTGATTTTCTCAGTGGTAGAAAATCTTTAATTGCCATGTTACATCACCGGACATAACCATTTCAAGAAAGGCAGAAAATAAACATTGCTCCATTGCTTTTAAGAGCAGAAAATCACCTCGGATCTAACTACATATATCTTGGAGTAACCAAAAGACTAATTAGTATAATACAAACCATCGACTAATTTATCAGTCATTTATTAATGTCACAGAAAAAATTAAAAAAAAAGTTAAAAATTTATAAAACTAAAAGTGGGGGGTCTCAAAAAATGACCATACCCATGATTCCAACCCTCCTATCTCAATCTGAAATGAAAAAAAAAGATTATCAATCTGCAGTGATGTCGCAATTGTATGAACTAGCCATAAGTAAAAAAATGTTTTTTGACAAAATGGCGACTGTTTGAAGAAAAAGGTTTTTTTTTACCATTTTTTTTATTTTCGTAAACATTTTTGAAACTTGGGGATGGGGCTAGTTCATACTCGAGAGAGGTCTATAAAAAAGATCCCTGAAAATTTCCAGTAAATCGGTCCAGTAGAACTCGAGAAATAGTGGGTATCGTATTGAAAAAGTCTGGTCCGAGAAAAACGCATTTAAAGTCTCGTGTAAAGTCTTTTGTTAGATTAGACCCAGCCCAACCAGCTTAGAAGACGGCTCAGTAAAATGTCTATATCTCCAAAAATAATTTAAATTTTGAAAAATCCTCTCTTAAATAGTTAAACTTTGAAAATATGAAAAAAAATCGATTTTTTGAAATTCTACACTAGAATACCGCCTTAATATGGAGAATTTTAGTGTAATTATTTTATGTTTCACAGATTTTACTTGCACCTACATACACAGGTATATATTATATATACATTTACTACTATCACAAGCATCAATTTAACATACCTTCGATATCTATCTCTCTTTACAGCCAATTAAAGCTGAGTTTCCAAAGAAAAGTTTGCACACTTAGTACGCTGAACCGACTGCAGCAACAGTTATTGCCATAACTCGAGGAATTCTGCTGCGTGTAAGCAATCTTGTCGCTGTGAAAGACACCCAAGCACGATACATACACGTATACATAAGCAAATAATAGTAGACAACTCTTCAACTACAACTGCAACCATAACTAATCTACAGCATCAACTACAACTTCCATTGCAGCTTTCGTCTAATTCCTCGCTTTTCCGCCTGCCATTGTTTCTGGCACATTTTCTGCGTCTTCGTTGGGCCCGCACAGCCATACACACACACTAACAAGCAAGCGAACTCATATGTGATATTTAACGAGAAGAAGAATAAGAAGAAGCGCCAGGATAATCGAGCATAGTAAGTACCTTGTGCTTGCGAGGCGTATTGGGCTTCAAGCACGGTCATTAGCAGTCACCCCACCGGCACGCCCTCTTTCAACACAATGGGTGACAATATAATTGGCTCGGCGAGCTTCCTGCATTTGGGCGATATTGTGTCGCTATACGCGGAGGGCAGTGTTTGCGGCTTTCTCAGCACACTCGGGTAAGTTAATGAATAATTAATTTTTATATATTCCTATATGTTCATGTTATTCACTAATTCATTGTTACATACATATTTACGCATTAATATTCATATAACAAGTCAGTTTATGCATATTTGTTTTGTTGTGATTGTAAACAATACAAAGAAAGCCTAGAGCATAGCCAATGGTTCGCATGTTGGCTCAAAAACAATTTTCCTTCTGCTTAGGCACTTGCGACCATTAAAATGGCTTTCGTATTTGTACGATTTTGCCTCCGACTGTAGCTAATGTGCTTATGAATTTTTATTACCTTCTGTAATTCACTAATTATGGTTGTTGTACGCCCGTCGTGTTATGTGATTGAGCGCTGCAAACACTATGTATTTGGCTATTAACTAATTTCATATTTACTTTACACCATGCCACCGCTACATTCCCCGAACCAACCAATCAACCAACCGACCATCAAATGAAACCGACTATTCTGTGCCCCTGTGTGTGTGCTCCGCCTGCCCGTGATAATGTCTTCAACGCCCGCTTACACAACAAACCCAATGACCCACACTGCATTACTGATAATTGTCCACGTCAGCCTGGTCGATGATCGCACAGTGGTATGTCCGGAGGCGGGTGATTTGAATTATCCGCCTAAGAAGTTCAGAGGTGAGTGCAATGTTGCTTTAATTTTTTGTTTTAGATTTGCGTTTATATCGCTCACCTGATGGGAGATGGGCGGTATGCCCCTCTCTCGCTTTGGCAATTATGCAATTTGTCCGCGTTGCATTATGCTTTCACTCATTGTTTTACGGCATCTTTGCAGATTGTCTCATAAAGGTTTGTCCTATGAACCGTTACTCTGCACAAAAGCAGTTCTGGAAAGCCGCCAAGCAGTCAGCCAGCTCCAACACAGACACAAATCTCTTAAAACGTTTGCATGTGAGTAGCCATGTTGCAATATTTTGCATCTATCAATTTTTATATAATATCTACCTATGTTTGTAACAGTGCAGGAATATAAGTAGAAAAAATTACCATCTGACTTTGGCTCAAGGCCCAGCCATTTGGGGTCCATTATAATCTATGTTTCTTTATTAAATCGGGGTTTGGTTACATTCTAATGAAATTGTTTATTAATTATATCCTATCCTATATGAGCCTACCTGGAATGGTAGCTGAGGCTTCTAACGCTTCTTTCATTTTTGCCTTGAGTATTTCGTATTCTGTTAATACAGTGGGAGCTTCTGTGCTATTGTCTTGTTTTTAATCCAACTTTTTGGACCTCAGATATTTCGATTACCAAATTCTTTCTCAAGGTTAGAGCGGGTCGGCCTTTTCGCCGGTTGCCTTGTGGATTTCAGTCAATTGCGTTCCGGGTAATTGTGTCTGGATCTCGTCGGTACATTTAATTCGAAAAATCGAGAATTTTCTCAAAAATATTTCTGTTAGGGACAATAAAAGCCCATGGGTTGCTCTAGTACTCAGCAGAATCAATGCTTCACCATACTGTAAGGTATTAACCCAGACACTGTGTTCTAGGTAGCTGAAACGGAACTGAATTTACAACTCCTGTAGTATTTCCATTGACTTTACTATAGATATTCATACTCTTGCAACATGTTGCTACAGAGTATAATAATTTTGTTCATCTAATGGTTGTTTGTATCATCTAAAGCTTTCGATATAGATATAGGATTATATGATCAGGATGACGAGACGAATTAAAATCCGGATGTCTGTCTGTATGTCCGTCCGTCTGTCTGTACAAGAAACTGCTCAAGCCCCTAGGTACCGGATATGTGGACTACAGTAAATATAATTGACTTTTTACCGAAAATATCGGTCAATGTGTGAGATATATAATTGTAATTCAGAGAGGATCCGTTTGGATTGAATCGGGTCAATATAGCTAATATAAAGATTTTTGAACTTCCGGGTGACTTTGTACCGCATATATCGACCAATATGTGAGTTATCTCAATGAAAATGAGAGAGCGTGTTTTAATCATAACAGTGTATCTTTGAGCCTAAAATGTACTGGATACTTGTATTTAACCACTTAATATCCTCATAGCATGCTGCGGAGATTGAAAAGAAGCAAAATGATACCGAAAACAAGAAACTGCTAGGTACCGTTGTGCAATATGGCAGCGTCGTGCAGCTACTCCATCTCAAATCAAACAAATATCTAACTATGAATAAGCGACTGCCTTCATTATTGGAGAAGAATGCAATGCGTGTCTACTTGGACGCCAATGGTAATGAGGGTTCTTGGTTCTACATAATGCCTTTCTATAAGCTACGTTCCGCGGGCGATAATGTTGTGGTCGGTGACAAAGTCATACTGAATCCCGTAAATGCTGAGCAACAAAACCTACATGTAGCCTCCAACTATGAGTTACCAGACAACCCTGGCTGTAAGGAGGTAAACGTGCTTAACTCCTCCACCTCATGGAAGATCACGCTCTTCATGGAGCACAAAGAGAACCAAGAACACATTTTGAAAGGTGGCGATGTGATACGTCTGTTTCACGCAGAACAAGAGAAATTTCTCACCATGGACGAGTATAAAAAGCAGCAGCATGTCTTCTTGCGTACGACGGGACGTACAAGTGCGACGGCGGCTACGAGCAGTAAGGCGCTTTGGGAGGTCGAGGTTGTGCAACATGACTCATGTCGCGGCGGTGCTGGGCACTGGAACTCCTTGTACCGTTTCAAGCATTTGGCCACTGGCTATTATCTGGCCGCCGAGCTGGAATCGGTTGGCAGCACGACGTTGATTCATTCTCTGGACGGCAATGGACTAGATACGTCATTAAAAGAGTCAGGTGTGTCTGCGAGTAGCGCTAATAAAAGCAAAATTTGAATTTTTCAATATTTATTTCCATTTCCATAATTTATTTTTACCTAACACAATTACATAGAGAAGAGCAAATGCGAACGCTATCGCCTGGTGCCAGTCCCATACTCCACTGAAATCGCATCGGTATTCGAATTAGACCCCACAACGATGGCGCGCGCCGACAGTCTTGTGCCGCAATCGAGTTATGTGCGTTTGCGGCATTTGTGCTCGAACACTTGGGTGCATGCCACCTCCATACCCATCGATATTGACGATGACAAGCCGGTGATGTCAAAGGTACGAATATGTACACACACACACACAAACATAACACTAGACAATTAAATTACAATTACAAAACCAAAGCACTTTGGCGCAGACCTTGAAAAGTCAATTCATTCTTAAAACATTCACAGGTCTGCTGTTCGCCCATCAAAGAGGATAAAGAAGCCTTCGCGCTCATACCAGTCTCACCCGTGGAGGTGCGCGATTTGGATTTTGCAAATGATGCTTGCAAGGTGTTGGATACCGTTACAAGCAAGTTGGTAAACGGCAGCATTTCCATAAATGAGCGCCGCTCGTTGATAGCATTACTGCAGGATATTGTTTTCTTCATTGCTGGCATGGAGAATGAACAGAACAAGGCGAAGGCGTTGGAATTAACAATTAAAAATCCAATACGCGATCGTCAAAAACTGTTGCGCGAACAATATATCCTTAAGCAGTTGTTTAAAATTCTGCATGGTCCCTTCCAGGAGCATCCAAGCGGTGAAGCACCCTTTCTACGTCTAGATGAGCTAAGCGATCCGAAAAACAGTCCTTATAAGAACATCTTTCGCTTGTGCTATCGCATACTGCGTTTGTCGCAGCAGGACTACCGTAAAAATCAGGTGAGGCTCGAGGAGATTAGTGGTGATCCTGCGATTAATCCTTTTTTTGTAATGTTTATATATCTTTTACAGGAATATATAGCCAAGCACTTTGGTCTCATGCAAAAGCAAATCGGCTATGACATTCTAGCGGAGGACACGATCACCGCACTGTTGCACAACAATCGCAAATTGTTGGAGAAACACATAACCGCGGCAGAGATTGAGACCTTTGTAGGCCTTGTCCGCAAGAATATGCTTAACTGGGATTCACGCTTTCTCGACTATCTCTCCGATTTGTGTGTTTCGAATCGCAAGGCGATCGCTGTGACGCAGGAGCTCATTTGTAAGAGTGTGCTTAGCTCAAAGAACGCGGATATCCTTATAGAGACTCAAATCAAACATTTTAAAGCGCCATTAGGCGATATGTATCGTAGTGCTGCCGAGGATTCCTATTCACTGAGCACACTAACGGAAGTGTTGGACGACGAGGAAAAGTCTGATTTGATCTCGAATTCAACTACAACGACAAGTTGGGATACAACAAGTTTAAATGATGCCCCCGAGATTGAGGAGAAATATGAGATACATTTGAAATGGCGTGGCCAACCTGTAAGTACAGGCACAAATTCAAAATCCCTCAAATTCAGAAGTAAGAGTAATTGTATTACAATTTAATTGCTTCTGTTTTGTAGAGTTCACGTTCCATGGGCGATTTGGCCGATTGTGCTGCTCAAGGCAAGGAGGAAGAGGCTGCCATACTGAATTACTATCGCCATCAATTGAATCTCTTTTCGAACATGTGTTTGAATCGCCAGTACTTGGCGTTGAACATTTTATCGCCACATCTGGATATTGATTTGATACTCAAGTAAATTCACTCACACATACACACGAGCGTTAGATTTATAGCATGCTTATTATTGTTATTTATCTGGCTTTTGAATATTTCAGATGCATGTCCGATGAGACAATGCCATATGAGCTGCGCGCCTCATTCTGTCGCCTAATGCTGCACTTGCATGTTGACCGTGATCCACAAGAGCCGGTGACGCCGGTTAAATATGCGCGTCTCTGGAGCGAAATACCATCAAAAATGTCGATACTAGAGTAAGCGACAATAATTGTGTATAATGTGTATAAATCTTTTATTTGTGCATTCCTTTACAAATTGTTTTTTGTTTTTTTGTTGCAGCTACGATGGCAAAAACCAGCAACCTGATCAAAACAAAGAAGCTGTGCGTGCCAAATTCAACACGACAATCGCCTTCGTGGAGAATTATCTCTGCAACGTGGCCACCAAGGTGTGGCTATTCACCGACCAAGAGCAAAATAAACTAACTTTTGAGGTTGACTATTGCATTTTCAAAATGTATACTGACTTCTATAAGGTGTTTCATATTTTTGGGGGTTTAGGTGGTAAAATTGGCACGCGATCTAATCTACTTCGGCTTCTACAGTTTCAGCGATCTGCTGCGCCTGACCAAAACTCTGCTCTGCATATTGGATTGTGTGTCGGAAACTGGTATGGACGGCGCAACACCCGGGCGCTTTGTTAATACGGATATTGACTGTAAGTTGTTCAAATAATGGCAGAGAGAATGTGTTTCGCAGAAGTATATTTAGTGACGGTATTTCTGCTTAAGTTGTGTTATCGAAAGTTCGTTAATCCATTACTTGCTTATTGTTTTTATCGTTCGCTTAATATGATTGCGTTTATTTTTCTTTTCTTGCAACAAATTGAAATTAACGTATAAAAATATTAAAAATTAAAATATTAGCGCCAACTGAAGAAGAAACGGGTGAGTTTGTCTCAGTAGCGCCTATTACTTTAAATGGTTTTGTTCCTTCGTTACTTTCAAACAATTTTGCTAAATTATTTGCCTGCACTAACGAAAATACTACTAACCACTGCCTTCCCTCACAGCGGAAGGAGGCGTTCTACGTTCCATCGGTGACATGAACACAGTAATGACTTCGTTAGCGCTCGGTTCCGTCGGTCAAGCGATCGCCTCACCCGCCTCACTGGCGCTGCAACATCGCAAGTCTGTTTCGCAGATGCTGAAGGAGTATCCACTGGTCATGGATACCAAGTTGAAGATAATTGAAATTCTACAATTCATACTTGACGTACGTTTGGATTATAGAATCAGTTGCCTCCTATCGATATTCAAGCGCGAATTTGATGAGACTGAAGTTAGCGCAGCCGCGGCAGCAGCAGCAGCAGCTGCGGCGGCCCAGAACACAGGCACAGGGGAGTGTACGCCAAGCGATGGCAACGTTAGTAGTGGCGAGACAAGTAGCAAGAATGCGGCGCTGATGGAGGCTGCGGCCGCAGCAGCTGCTGCGCTAAGTACACGTCAGAAGAATATCGATTTGGAGTCAATTGGTGTGCAGGCAGAGGACATTTTCGACTGTGAAAGCGGCGATGCGTCGAATTTAGATTTGGATGGCCAGGGTGGGCGCACTTTTCTGCGCGTGCTGCTCCATCTCATCATGCACGACTATCCGCCGCTAGTGTCAGGCGCACTGCATCTGCTCTTCAGGCACTTTAGTCAGCGGCAGGAGGTATTACAGGCTTTCAGACAGGTAAGTAACGATATTAGAATATAACTGTTGTTTTATAAGTTTCATTTTAAAATTTTAACATTAATTTTATTAACGCCTTCACTAATATTGACTAACACCAATTTTTCTTTTGAATCTATAACATGACTTATAATTTTTTACTTGTTTTATAACCACCCGTAACCCCATCCACAATCCGCTCTAACCGTGCTCTAGCCAAAATGGGATCATATCGTTAGTACTAACCATTTTGTGTTTTAATTTATTTTACATATTTATTAACATTTTAAGCTTAGAAAAATTGCTACAATTATTCTCTGCCTACAGGTGCAATTGCTTGTGTCCGATAGTGACGTAGAGTCTTATAAGCGCATTAAACTGGACTTGGATATTCTGCGACAGAGCGTTGAAAAGTCCGAGCTGTGGGTCTATAAGCCGAAAACCACGGATGACTACAATACTAGTATGTACCACTACCACAAAGATGGGAATATTAAGTTTTAATTCCTTATATCTTCCACCACTTGCAGCTGCTGAGCGCTCTTCTGACCCGGCTATTGATGTCTCCAACTTGAGCAATGAATATCGTGCATCATTGTCAAATGAGCAGCTAAATGAGTACAAAAAGGTTAAAGAGATACTCATACGAATGAATAAGTTTTGCGTCACATCAGGTATGTATTTCAGTTTAAGAACCTTGACCAAACTTTCTTTAACGAAAAATTAGCTGCACAAATTTATTATAATAATGTTTTTGCCGATTTGTTTTCGCCCACCCTTTGCACAATTTGGATCAATTGAATTATGACTCTGTTATTTACCTAAATGCTTCCTTTCATAACCTTAATTAGCACTTTTTATAATAATATTGTACGATTTTTACTTAACCAAAGGTCCCAACGTCAAGCCGCGCAAACACGAACAACGCCTTCTCCGCAACGTTGGTGTACATACAGTTATTCTCGATCTGCTGCAGAATCCGTATGATGAAAAGGACGATGTGCTAATGAAGGAGCTGATGTGTTTGGCGCACGAGTTCCTGCAGAATTTTTGCTTAGGAAACCAACAAAATCAAGTTTTGTTGCATAATCAGTTAGATTTATTCCTCAATCCAGGCGTAAGTAGCATCCATCTGACGTTTAAACTTAATGTTAGAGCAATGTAAATTGTTTTCATTCAGTAGAAGGTGTTTATTTTTATTAATTATATGTTAGATTTTGTAAAATTGTTTGCACCGCTTTTCTCTTAATTTAAGTTAAATTTAAATCAATAATTGTTAGAAAGATTCTTTCTTCTTTCCAATAAGCAAGCTATAGCGGTGGATCCACCGGAGGGAGGGGGTATTGGGTGTCAAAACTATTATATTGAAAATAGAACAAGTTTACACCTTTTTCTGCCACCGCTTATTATAATGGACTTGAGTTTTGTCGCTCAGTTTGTATGGCTGCTATGTATATGCTGTAGTTGTCCGATATGAAAAGTTCCGACAAATGATCAACTTGTTAGTGAGAAAAGAACATGTGCAAAATTGCAGATCGATATCTCAAAATCTTAGGGACTAGTTCTCGTATATATATATGTATATCGGAGACCCCAACGTTACCTTCTGGGTATTACAAATTTCGTGGCAAACTGAAGATACCCTTTTCGGGTTTAATTATTTCAATCATGAACTAGTTTTGGTTATTTTATTTTATTAAAAAATTTGGTTACATTATTTATTCACATTACTATACAACATTTTTAAGCAAATTATTTAAAAATAAATATTTACTTTAATTTAACTAAATTTTCTTAATGAGTTAATTAAATTGAATTCAAGCTTCTTAAGGAAATTAGTTAAATTCCCATAAATAATTGTTTGGGACTTCTGATTCCAGATTCTAGAGGCTAAGACCGTCTGCGCCATCTTTAAAGACAACCTTGCACTTTGCAACGAAGTCAACGACAAGGTCGTACAACATTTCGTACATTGCATTGAGATCCATGGCCGCCATGTTGTATATTTGCAATTCCTTCAAACAATCGTTAAAGCTGAGAATCAATTCATACGTAAATGTCAAGATATGGTTATGCAAGAGCTGATAAATGCCGGCGAAGATGTACTCGTGTTCTACAACGACAAAAGTTCTTTTAATCAGTTCGTCTCCATGATGCAGAGTGAAAAGTCGCCACTGGATGACTCTAGTCCACTGCGCTATCATGTGGAACTTGTTAAGCTGCTCGCCTGTTGTACCATGGGCAAAAATGTCTACACAGAAATTAAATGCAACAATTTGCTCTCACTGGACGATATAGTAACAATTATTTGCAATCCTGCTTGCATACCCGAAGTGAAGGAAGCTTATGTTGATTTTCTGAATCATTGTTACATTGATACCGAGGTAGAGGTTAAGGAGATTTATTCCTCGAGTCACATGTGGAATTTGTTTGAGAAATCTTTCCTAGTTGATATCAACCAACTGATTGCCATCGGCGCCAATGCCGATAAGACACTGCTCAATTATGTATTGAGCGGTGTGACGAATGTGTTGAATACCTTCTTCTCCAGTCCCTTCTCCGATCAGAGCACCATCGTGCAAACGCGTCAGATGATTTTCGTTCAGATACTGCAAGCCACCTATCGCTTAACACAGTGCAAGTGGCTGTCACTGGCCGATCGCTTTAATGTCGAGAACTGCGTTCGTACGTTGGCTGAGTCGGCGAAGACGCGTAATATTGCGATTCCGCTCGACTTGGAGCAACAGGTGGTGTCGATGTCTAGCAAAACAGCCTTGTTGACGCGTCAGACCACCAAATGGCTATTGGCCTCGAAGCAGCCAAAATATGAGACGCAGCTCTCGGCAAATTTAATGCGTTTGGACCGTTCTATTATAGAGGGCTTGCAAGATATTGTGTCGCTGTTGGAAGATCAACTGAAGCCGGTGGTGGAGGCGGAGTTGTCGTTGTTAGTCGACATTCTGTACAGATCGGAGTTACTCTTTCCGCCCGGCACCGAGGCGCGTAAAAGTTGCGAAAGCGGCGGTTTTATTAGAAAGCTAATCAAGCACACTGAGAAGTTGCTGGAGGAGAAGGAAGAAAAGCTATGTGTAAAGGTGTTGCGTACGCTGCGCGAAATGATGGCAATCGATGTGAATTACGGTGACAAAGGAGATGCTCTGCGCAACACACTGCTAATGCGGTACTTTGATCGGAAGGGGGGCGGGGGAAGTGGTGGAATTATAAGCGGTGTTGGTGGAGGTGGCGCTAGTGGTATAAATATTGGAATCGGGATTGATAGCCGTGGCATTGGAGGGCTAGGAGCAAAGGCAATCGAAGGTTTGTTGCACCAATTTATTTCTCATAAATTTTTTTTCTACATACTTATTGAATTTTAACTATTTAAGGCAAGTCTGCACTGCAAGATGGCACTGACGCTATTTTAATTGAGCAACAGAAACGTGTTCATCTTGTAACCCACGGCCCGGGCGCCAAGTATCTTCAGCGCGCTGGTAAAACTCTACATGAAGTTCAAAATCATCTAGATCGGGAAGGCGCCTCTGATTTGGTCATTGAACTCGTAATAAAGTCCGTACACTCGCCCTCAATTTTCGTGGAAGCTGTTGAACTGGGCATTGCGTTACTCGAGGGCGGCAATCCTATCATACAGAAGGGCATGTATCAAAAATTTCTCAGTGGCGACTTCAATCAAGCATTCTATAAAGTTTTCTTCGAGAAAATGAAGGACGCTCAACAAGAAATAAAGTCGACGGTGACGGTTAATACCTCAGATATTGCGGCGAAGGCTCACGAAAACAAGCAGGATGTTAATCTGGAACTGGACAAAATAGCGCGTAAACATGGCGTAAAAAGTAATGGTGTTGTTATCACCGATGAGCTAAAAAAGGAATTGCATAATGCAGGTCTTGCAACAGCTCGCGCCTACGGCAACGCACGAAGTATTCATCCGGGTGATGAAAACTCTGCCATTAGCATTAATAGCCCATTGGAAGACATACTCGCCGAGAAGCTAGAAAAGCACAAAGACAGCAAGGACGATCGCAATAAGATTTCGAATAAAGTGTTGGTCATGCAACCGATTCTACGTTTCCTGCAATTACTCTGCGAGAATCATAATCCCGATCTGCAAAATTTATTACGAAATCAAAACAACAAAACCAACAATAACCTCGTCTCTGAAACCTTAATGTTTCTGGATTGTATTTGCGGCTCAACGACCGGTGGATTGGGCTTATTGGGGCTATATATCAACGAAAACAATGTCGCATTGATCAACCAAACTTTGGAAACACTTACCGAATACTGTCAGGGGCCCTGTCATGAAAATCAAAATTGCATAGCGACGCACGAGTCCAACGGTCTCGACATCATAACAGCACTAATACTTAACAACATTAATCCGCTCGGCGAAAACCGTATGGATCTCGTCTTGGAGCTGAAGAATAATGCCTCCAAACTGTTGTTGGCCATTATGGAAAGTCGCGGCGACAGTGAAAATGCCGAACGTATTTTGTATAATATGAATCCCAAGCAATTAGTAGAGGTAGCCTGTAAAGCATATCACCAAGAAGAGATGATCGACGATGGTGATGAACATGATGGCAGCGATGCTGAAGCGGATGATGAGGTTTCGGTGAGTCCACGTGAAGTGGGTCATAATATTTACATTCTTTGCCACCAGCTGGCGCAGCACAACAAAGAGTTGGCGGCGCTACTAAAGGCCTGTGAAGATCCACAAGCAACCAGCTTTGATGCGAAAATGAGTCAGGCCTTAATGTATTACGCAACGCATACAGCACAAATTGAGGTGAGTGCGATAGGCGAATGTTGTTTCTGTGTTTTTTTTTTTTATTAAATTTATATTCTTGCTTTGAAGATCGTACGAAATGACCGCACTTTAGAGCAAATTGTTTTTCCGATCCCCGAAATATGCGAATACTTGACGACAGACACGAAAATAAAAATTTTGAACACAGCTGAACGCGATGATCAGGGCTCGAAAGTCGCGGATTTCTTTGATAAGGCCGAGGAGATGTTCAATGAAATGAAGTGGCAAAAGAAGTTGAGAGGTGAGTTCACGATACGTTTGTTTAGCATTGTGTACTGAATGAGAATTCTTGAGTTGAAATAAAAATCTTTTTTTTTTTTCTAAAGGACAACCTTTCCTGTTCTGGGTCAGCAGCTATATGTCATTATGGAGCAATATACTATTTAATTGTGTGGTTGTTATAAATCTAATTGTAGCATTTTTTTATCCGTTCGACAATACTGTACCGGGTAGGCATACCATGAATTGTGTCTAGCCCTGCAATTTCGTTGATTTTCTAAATTTTCTATTTCCTCTACTTTCCAGAGCTTAGTTCACATATTTCCTTACTCTTCTGGGCCATTTTGTTGTTCTCATTGGCTATTGTTGTAACGCTACCACGTGAATCAGGAATTCGTACTTTAATTGGCTCCGTGATATTACGTTCCATTTTTCTAATTGGTCCAGAATCTACGCTCTGTCTGTTGGGAGTAGTGACGGTGAGCTCAAGTTGACTGGAAATTCAACTACAAAATAAATCTACTTCTTTCTATACAGGTGACATTGAAGAGCGTGCATATCGTAAGCATTATGGGCAACAATGGCACGTTGGAGAAGAATTTCCTCAAGATAATCACAGATATGCAGCTACTGTATCACTGCATATACATGTTCTTCTGTTTTTGTGGACTGATTTTTCATCCCTTCTTCTACTCGCTATTGGTGTGTATAATATATAAATTTGTCGAAAATATTGTGCTTTATATGATCTATTCCTTCTTTAGCTATTCGATGTTGTATATCGTGAAGAAACTCTGGTGAATGTCATACGCTCCGTCACACGCAACGGACGCTCAATCGTTTTAACAGCAGTCTTAGCTCTGATTTTGGTTTATCTATTTTCCATCATTGGTTATATGTTCTTTAAGGACGACTTTCTTGTCGAAGTGGATGCTGATGAGGGGCAGACGAGTTCAACGACGACATCGGTGCCAGATATTACCATGTCGATGGCGGCGAATGGCGCTGAAAGCTCCTGTAGCGCGCCAGATACTTTTAAGAAGGGAATATTTTGTGCTGGTGGCGGCAATGGTGGCGCTGAAGCTAGTTCTACCACCACTGCTGTCAGTGGCGGTTGTGGTGGAGATGCAAAGGAACGTTCTTGCGACTCTTTAGTTATGTGTATTGTTACCACACTGAATCAGGGTTTGCGAAATGGTGGCGGTATCGGCGATATACTACGCGCACCGTCCAGTAAGGTGAGTGGCTCATATTCAAAAAAATAAATTCGAGCTAATATACATTTAAATTTTCCAAAACGTAGGAAAGTCTCTTCGCCGCACGAGTCATCTACGATTTGCTTTTCTTCTTCATCGTCATCATAATCGTGTTGAATTTAATTTTTGGCGTTATCATAGACACTTTTGCCGATTTGAGAAGTGAGAAGCAGCAAAAAGAGCTCATCCTCAAGAACACCTGCTTTGTTTGCGGCCTTAATCGTTCGGCATTCGACAACAAAACCGTCAGTTTTGAAGAGCACATCAAAAGTGAACACAATATGTGGCATTATTTGTACTTTATAGTGTTGGTGAAGGTGAAGGATCCCACAGAGTTCACCGGACCCGAGAGTTACGTATACGCAATGGTGAAAGCAGGTATTTTGGATTGGTTTCCACGTCTGCGCGCCATGTCGCTGGCCGCCGTCGATGCCGACAGTGAGCAAATCGAGTTACGCAGCTTGCAGGCTCAGCTGCCGGAGATGCAATTGCTCATAACAAGCTTGTCGCAGCAGTTGCACGAACTGAAGGATCACATGACGGAGCAGCGTAAGCAAAAGCAGCGCTTGGGATTACTCAATACAGCGCCGAGCAATCTATTGGCGTGTTATCAGTTGCGCGACGCGAACAGTTTGTCGTGAAGTGTGTCAGCAACAGTTAGTGGTATATGAGTTATGTAACGGATTAAGCAATAATACACAATGTGGAAATGTTAATTAAGACCTTGACAAGGTTTCTCTTTTTGACTTTTGTTTTTTTTTGTTTTGTGTTTCACAAAATTTCTCGAGCTTCGGCTCTAGTGGTAGTTATTATGTGCAAGCGAAGCAATCAACGTAGCGTAAGGCAACAAATACAAGTTTCGAAAATAATATTAACTCGGCACACACAAATGTTTTTAAAACATATAAATAATTGTATGTATTCTTACATGTGTGGGTGTGTGTGTAATTATGGTGTAAAATGTCTCTCTTCCTTACATTTAAGTATAAAGTTTTCAAATTCATGTCCGCTGCGCATTATTTAGTTGTAGATTTATTTAAAATTGCAAACTCTTATTTTCTTCACTTGCCTTCTCTTTTGTCTCGATCGTATTTTGCGAATTATTTATACATTTGCGGAAACTTTTTTGATTTTTTACCTATCGAACACTGACTTGTAGCACACCTACATATTTTCTCGCTTCTTAAACAAAACACTACATACAAACTTACATTTTTAAACTTGAACTGTTGTCAACTATCTACAAAAATGCCAATAATTTACTAGGGATACCATCGTATCTCATCTCTCCATATTTTACATACATATACATATATATGTATATATTTTTTAAAGCAAAAACTCTCTACTAAAATGTGATCTTTTCGACTTTTTACTTAAATTCGTCAACAATCACACTACGTGTCCTTCCCAACCTCTACTGAAGTGTATTCAAACTAACTGCTGTGGTCTCTATTGTACTTTTTTATTTACATACAATACATTTCTATTTACAAACAATATTTTACATACATATACATACCGATATATTAGTAGATTTGACAAATTTTCGAAGTACTTTAATTAAAATTAATTATAAACTAAAATTGTAGTTTAGAGTAAACTTATGGAGACTAATTTTTAGCTCAATTAATATTAATAATATTGATTATATTACTTAAATATATTGAAAATGTAATAAACATACTTACATACACATATGTATATATATATAATTATAATGAATATGCAGTTACGGAATTCTATTGAAAAATTTAATAAAATTGTAGTCAATCACATAAAATTCAAAGGAATGTTTTACTAAATTAGCTGCCAGAATATGTATGTACATATATAATATTTAGATTTTTCAGACAGGCTATCAACATATTCGCATACAAAACAACTAATAGGGTTCATCTCCAATCGGCTTAAATATTTTATGATAATTATACCCTGAAGAGTGGGGTGTTTGTTGTGGCAAATGTTTTTTCTTTCGCTCCATACTCTGAAAAATTGGTTGATAGACACCTCTAAGAAGCGCTCTCCAAGTATGAGCTCTTAATTGTAACGGGAAGGTCTTCCGCTTAACGGTTTTATATTTTTGTCTTATTAGTAAAATTCATATCTCGTTTTCAACTCCTTGAAAAAAAATCTGCTTTCATAGATTTTATAGGAAAGCTTTTGGAGGGAAGATGCTAGAAAGAACTAGCAAAACCATTGGCTGCAAACTGAACGAAATGCGCCTGTGAAGGGTATTATTGCTTCAATGCAGCCGAAGTTAACGTTTTTTTTTTATTTTTCATTACACCAATTCACAAGAGGATTGACATTGTTCACCGAAAGACGGACAATTTTTGGAAAGAATTTTCTATATGCATAAACTTTACTTTAACCGTACTTCTTAAAGTCCAAACCAAATGTAAAGGAAGCTACAGTGATACTTATATAACCAACAAATAATTTTCGTCCAAACTATGGAGTAATATATACTGATCTCACGGTAAGTCGATACGATTTCAGAATCACTTATCTCCGTTGATTATTATTATGCCTTTTTTTCAAAGGGTTGCTGCTGCCTCAAGTTCATTAGTTTACCAAATTGGCTTGGCCTAAGCAATAAAAATTTGAAGGGTCTTACAATAATATATCATAGTTTAGTTTTGTTCCTCTATAGTATTTATAACGACAATAATGTATAATGTAATCAGATTCCATTAAACTTTTCATTATGCAATGCGGAAGACGTTTATTCAATAGAGAGTGGGCCAAATATAATACCACCTTATAATTATATATATACTTGTATATGCATGTAATTCTGTTATTGGGTTAAACCACTCAATAACTATGCTAGCATCACTAAATACTCATTGAAATTCCGGCAAATTGGGCTACCGCGGGCTCCTGCACCGCTCTTCGTAGTGAACCGGTTAAGTCTGTACAGTTACAGTTAATCAAAATATTTCGTTTCCTGTCAATTTGGCGATTTAATTTAATCTACTTTGTAATAATTCGAAAGCTTGGCTGAAGTGTTAAAGCAACGTAGAAGCGCACGTCGAAGAGAGCGCCTGATTGGCGTTAGCCGGAAAGCGAAAGGTGCACAAAATAAACTGTTCTACGTGACCGTTTGCCGCAGTCCCTTTGACGCAGATATCTTAATTGCAGCAGCTCGTCTATTCGCAGGTATCAGTGGGTGCCGAAATATTGGAATCTTTGCTATTGTTGTGATATTTTTGCAAGCGGTTGAAATGGACGTAGCCAAGCAAAATCTGTATAAAAAGGCTTCGCATTTCCAGCGCTGATTCAGTTTGTGTCTTCCACTTGTTTCAGCAGTCAAGCTTGAAAGTATCTATTATTTCAGCTCTCCACACTACTCGGCAGTTAACTAACGGAATAAGAATTCAAATACAAAAATGTCCACTATGGTCAGTAAAATTTGGTAAGCTCGTAGTAAATGAGGTTAATATAAAAAATTACCTTACACAGATCACACATGTCTTCTTGCTGTACGCCATCGGCTTCATTGCCATAAGTGCAGGTGAGGGAAATGTAGAGGTAAACCCCTTAACATCGGAGAAGTCTTTGAATCGCCGCAGTCTGTCTGGATTTGGCAGCGAGTCAGGACACACAGTAGCTATCAGTGCTAACCCTTGGTTGGGTGGCGGCAATAATGCACATTTCAGTGGCGGTTTTGGGGACCTAGCTGTTAGCGGCTGGAATCCTTGGAAGAATTTGTAAAGCAATATCAATATTAAATAAAAATTTATCATATTTATTTTTAATTCCTACACTGTGCCTATCTTACAGTGGTGCGAGTCACAGCTCGGCGCCGTCACCCAGCGAAGTGGCTAATGCCATTGCCTCCGCAAAACAAGCTTCAGCCAATGTATTAATTTCGCAACAACAAATGCAGGCCGCTAAAGAGAATGTGCTCAATCAACAACGCATGGCTATGGAGAAGGAAACTGCTGCCGCTATACTCACACAAAAATCCGAGGCAGCTGCCGCTATTCAACGCTCCGAAGCAGCGGCGGCCGCACAAGCTGTAGTGTTGGCGCAGCAACGATTGGCCGCGTCAAAAGCTGCGGTGGCGCATCAACAACGTATTGCTGCAGCGCGTGAAGCTGAAGCAGCATCGGCATTGCAACGATCGGCTCATGCGGCTGCGGCTGAGATACAGAAAACCGAATATGAAGCCTCCAAACTGGGACAATATACACGAAACGGCAATGCTGGGGCGGCACATCATCTCACCTTGACCAAGGATGTGGCATTCAGTCCCATAACGGCAGGCACCAATCATGTACCCAATGTGCAGTCATTTGGTCCATGGGCGAGCAGTGGAGGCAAGGGATCGATTGGTGGTGGTGCTGGATCCGGTGGTTGGCTCTAAACCGCTCAATTTAAGCTTCAAAATATCCACATATGTTTATTAGACTCTATTCAACAATTTGTTATAACTAATTTGTATATTCCATTTTTGCAATAAAAAAGCAATTCGCTACATGAAACCGTAAATTGTCTCAAAGCACTTTTCCTCAGCTGAAACGAAGAGCAGCAGCAAAAACTTTATTGTGCGTCGGCCGGGAATCGAACCCGGATCAACTGCTTGGAAGGCAACTATGCTAACCATTACACCACCGACGCACCTACCAGCATTCTCTCCTATCACATATTTGAACACTGTCAACGCTTGACAAAACATTCTTTGAACTAATTATCAATTATAGATCTACAAATAATTCTGTAATTGCGTAAAATAGCGCCACTATGTAATTTCTAATTGATATACCAATAAATAAAAGTAATGATTCTTGCTTGTGAATTTCTCTGTAATTTCAAGTATTTTTAGAAGAATTTCTTTTACTTTGACTCACACTGTGTTGCAGGCATTTGCCTAAATATGAAAAAGCTCATTTGGATTATTATTAATGTTAGCGTCGGTGGTGTAATGGTTAGCATAGTTGCCTTCCAAGCAGTTGATCCGGGTTCGATTCCCGGCCGACGCACAGTAAATTTTTTATATACCAAAAAGGCATACCTGGAATCCTACATCCTACAAAACAGGAATGTTTATGTGAATTTTTTATGATAACATGATCTAAACTCCCTATTAAAATCAATGGCACATTATAGTATGACATTTGGAAATATTCTGAATATTAAAAATACGGAAATAGCAGCAATTATTCGAACGTGTATCGGAAAGAATTAGATAAAATTTATATAAAAATTTTTAAATAACTCTCCGGCGTTATATTGAAAATTATGTAAAGGAACAGCGTACGAAATTTCAAAATGATCGGTACAGTAGTTTTAAAGTTGTGTGGAAAACGCTTTAAAATTTTGAAATCTGATGTAAAACGTGAGACATAAAAATACTCACAACTTTGTTAAGTTTTCTTTAATCGATTGAAAATTTAAACACAATATTCTTGAGCATTCAGTTAAGAGCCTACTCCCCCCTTAGCAAGTTAATAAATGTTGTATTTTTTAATAAAAATGTGCAGTTAATATACACAAACCAATTTCTACATGCTCGCTTTAAGGAACAAGTAAATTATCGCGAAACAAAGAAATGTGATGATGAGGAGGAATGCGTGATAAAAATTTGGCTGATAGCAAAATAAAAAAATTTGTGATCATAAAATAACAAGTAATAAAATATTATAACGTCAGAACGATCTTAAAATCTAATTTTTTAACACTTCAAACCAAACCTATTCGGTCGATCAGTCATACTTTGAATAAAAAAGTTACTCAAACACATTCTTAAAGAAAGTAAAAACATCACTTATTAATAACTTTTTCTTTAATTGAAACGGCTGTAACTTTAACTGACTCTGTCTGAGGTATGATTCAAATATAAAGGTCGATTATTTTTTGCATACACTTTGTATGTGCAGTTTTCCCTTCAGATTCATAATACTTCCATTACTTTGTTACGCTTCTATTTGAACATACTATTTACTACCTATTCTTCTAAGTCTTTCAACAGCTGTTTCTTTTTAACAGTGAAATAAAAATATATTTTTTATATTGTTTGCAACATTATATTCATAACACTACAATTTATTAGAAATCGTCGCCATATTTCACATTTACGAGTAAATCATTCGCTTTTACATTAATGCAAATCGCTATCAGAATTAAATTTGTATCAACTTTTTGTTCATTTTGCAGTAATAATATTTATTCTTCGTCATTATGCACTTAAATGTAAATATCTGTTTATTTTAATATGTTTAGTATGTATGTATGTATATGTTTTATATGATGTACATGTGTAAATATAAACCAATATATTATATAGTAGTGGTCGTATTTCGAAGTTGTAAAATATTAAATTATTTACAAAAAAATCGTGTATGATATATAAATAGGTGTAAAAAAATAATATAAGATAACACTGGAGAAAATTGTGTGAAATTATGTGTTATTTAATATTATGCTCATGTGTGTGTGTGTGTGTGTGTTGTCTGCATTGTACTCAGGTAATACTAGCGAATGTGAAGTTTTAACAAATGTACATTAAATTCAAAAATTGCATTTGTTATTTGGTGCGAAGAAGAATATTCTAAAATAAAATATAAAAAGACATACAACTATGGCAAAGTGAATTGTTTGTATAAATAAAATACTTGTACACAGGTTTATGTTTTAATAGAAGTATGTAGAATTGTTTGTGGGAATTAGCGGATGAAAATGACTGATTGACAGGTGGATTATACTGTAAATAAGTTGTTTTTTCGTTTGTTCGTCCTACTATGTGTTGTGCCTTTCCTTTCCAATAAATATAGTTCATGCATAATATTTATCCAACGTGTAAACATGTATGCACACATATTAACTTTTCTTTTCATACATTTTTGTTTTGCTGCTAACAACATACATATATATGGTATAAACATAATTAGCATATTTCTCGTTAAATATAAATATTATTTGCAAAAATTTTTACTTAAACTTCATACTTCACATATGCAGCTGCAATTAGTTAAAAGTTCGTAAATTTAATTTTTGACATAGCCTTATATTCAGTTTATTGCGAAGCTAAATTGATTTTTTTTTTATTACCACAGCGCGTGGTTGAGGTGCTGGGGAGACCTTTGAAAGGAAAGCAAAGCTAGGTGATAAGAGCAGACGGGGGAAAGGGCTAGGGCTAGTAATAGTTATATGTAAATATCTATCAATATTTTTATGTATAATATTTGTATAACTATTCTTCGCTTGTATATAAATTGTAAATGTCGTATTACTTATGTGTATTTGCTACTGACCAACATCTTTAGACTTTCATAATAATTATTATTTTTTGTATTGTTTTTTCATTTGTTACCAAATTGTATTTATGTATAATATATTCGTACATAGAATTCGTATTGATAATTTAATAATATAGAATTAACATTATTTTGTTAGTTTTGTTGCTACTTAAAATGTAAATCTCATTCAAATTTTTGGTTGCGTTCTTATAAGGGCGTTTTGACTACGGCTAGATAATCGATTTTTTCTGTTCCATTCATTTTCGTAAGTAATAAACGTAACTAGTTTGCTGCGAAATTCACGAAATGCTGTACTTCTGATTGCTTTAAATGATAGTTAATGGAAGTATTTCGAAAATATACATAAAATCGTAAAAGAAATTTATGTGAAATTGATATTGAATGTGCGCTCAAAACAGAGCTGCAAAGAGTAAAATATCATAATTTATTAAAAACCCTTAAGTTCTTCATTTAAAAGGGGGTAATTAAAAACCGAGACCATTTATTTGCGATGTACTAAAATAAAACCAAAAATCGGTGGTTAAATAAATAAAAAATAGTATTTCGTGTTAACACATTTATATAAGTAGAGTTCTAACGGCATTACAAACAAAATGGCTTTGAAAAATACTCTATATTAAATAGCCTTAAAGCTATAGAAGAGAGCTACAAGCGAAATTATAAAAAAAAAGATTATGTAATATAAGTGCGATATTCGAGTTCATTTGAGTAAATATGTATGCTTTTTAGTAACTACATACGAGGTGTGTTCAAAGGAAAAGGTGAATTTTGAATTTTTTTGAAATTCTGTTGTCATGTTGCACATGATAAACATATGTGTCCGATTATAACAAAAACAAAATATTGATAATCGAATGTACACAGCCCGCAAAAATCAAAATTCACCTCTTCCTTTGGACACAAATAGAAAATTAGTTTTCATTGCCATCGTGGCATATAAAAACAAGAAATTATTTATATGAAATCGTTTCATGAGCTACGCGCTATTTTCTGGTAAGGAAATGCCGAATTTGTAAAAATTGTACGCAGAAAGAAAATAAGTTGTATAAAGAGTAAAACAAAAAACCAATGAAAGAAGAGTAACTACAATGTCAACGAAAATATTGAGGTGGCTCACTTAATATATACTTTTTGTTTGCACGACTAGATGCTTTATATGGATGTACAATAAAATATCCATATAGTACTAGCTGTATGTATGCACGTTGCACATTGTAAATCTAATGTGTGTATATGCTATGTTATACAAATATATATGCCTGTTGATTAATATGTATGTATATAACTACTGTGAATCTTCCATCAACACATATATATGTATATACTATATATGAACGAATGCATATGAAATGTATGCGCATGATCATATGAAAGTATCGTGATCGTTTTGCGATTGACACTCGTTGTATGGACGTCAGCTGCCAGTGCTACGGCTACTTTACATACAAAACCACTCATTGGCTCGCATTTATATGCTTCATATAAAATACTTGCCAATTTATATGTAAATCAAAAACCATTCTTATAATTTATTAGCTAACTTTAGCTGCTTCTCGCAGGCATTCCGTCTTATTCACTTTCCGATCGTCTTATACTGTTGTGCCATATGCATTGAAGACGGCGCGCGAACTGTCTGTGTCCAGCGATATATCTTCAGGGCTGGCCAAGTCGACGCGTACATTCGAGTTAGTGCGCCGGCGCGCCGTTTGCGCGGCGCCCCAATTGCTAAGCGTCCAATGAAAACCGGATGTTTGTACGGGCTCCTCGGACACTTTTACCTGTGTGCAAACCTATTAAAGAACAAATAGTTCGATGTTATTGAGAGTGCATTTCAAGGCAGGTGCGACCAGCTCACCTCACGGTTAACGCAGGGCAATGTTTCGGTGCCGTTGCCAACGATGCCTGAGCCGGAACCGGAATCGCGTGTGCTGCCAATGCTGCTACTAGTGGCTAACGAGTCGTTACTAGATTCTGTTACCACACCGCGATAGCGCGCAACTGATTGCACGGCCTGCAATAAGAGGAACATCAAATGAATCAATATAATTGGCATAAAGAGGCGTTGATGCTCGCATGCTTACCATCACATCACCGCCTTGACAATCCTCGATTGACTTGAGAATTTCCCAGACGAGTTCCGAGTCGAGCGGTATAGGATTCTCGGAGTCACGATTGTGTATGGCGATCGCAATGTGCACAGGATGCGGCACAGGTAACGGTATAAGCAATTTCTCCGTGACGCTCTTCCCGTCCGTTTTCTTTTTCCATGGACGCCATGGTTTCAGTGGCTCTGGCGCTTTCGCATTTTGCGAACGGTGAGCGCGCACGCGTGGTGTCGTTAAGCCGACGGACATGTCTCTGTTACGATGTAATGGAAGTGGTAAGTTGCTGTAATCTTAATTAACATTAAATTTATATACGCTTACCTCTTCTCCGGCTTCCTGAAGTTGAGCGTGATTCTTGAACGCGGATTAAAGGCCGTCACTTCAAGAAATGGCAAATGCACTTGCACATTACCACGCGGCGCGTACACGTTACCCAGCAAATCCAAACCTTTGGAACCTATCACATCGGTAGCGTTTTGTACCATTTCTGTGTAACGCGTTAAGTCGAGCGAGGGATGCGGTTCGAGTTTAAAATGTGTATCGTTCTCAGTCAATGGCGTTAGAAAATCTAAGCTAAATATTTCGGTATACATGAGACCGGCCAGACCGGGCCAATCGTTTACGCTGAGGCCCTACGAATAGAAATGAAAGCGTTAATATCGTGATTCTGCGTTTAACTGTAAAGTTGCACTGTGGTTTACCTTATTATCCCAAAAGTCATCCTCACTAATGGATAGCCTGGCAATAACATGCGACGGATAACATTTCTCCAATGTATGGGCGGCCAGTTGTATGGCAATCTGCAAAAGCAGCAAGTTTTTTCTTTATACACTTTGTTCTTGTTTTTCATTCACACTCACCTTCAACTCTTTGGTATTCAATTTTATGCGCGTTTTCACCTGTGTCGTCAGCGAGGTTTGCAGTTCTCGTCTCCGCTTTTCCAACTTCTCGTGTAGGGTGCTCATTAGATCGTGTGCCTCACGATCCAGTGTCATATACGGCCCTGTCTTCGCCAGCTGCGCTGAGAATGGACCAAAGCAAGCTTCTACGAATTGACTGAAATCCTTCTGCGGCTGCAGTATGATGCGCTCCATGGCGTGTTGATATGCCTGAAGTTCGTCCAACTCCATTTTCGCTTCAAAAGCTGCCAAAGCTTGTTCGGGTTTGATGATAAAATAGTAGTCGAGCGCTAGGCCTGGTCCAGCTATACGCTTCACAGCAATGCTATCGGAAGCCGGTACACGGCCACATTTTTTTATGAACAAGTGAAATGTCAAGGAATCCCATAGCAGACGGAGCGAGAAGCGGGCCACTCCAACTAATAAAAAAAATGTAGAGAGTTTGAGATCGAAAGGAGAAATCTTTTAATTTACAAGCGCTCTCAGCGACGCTTACCAACTAAAATTATGGTCGATGCCAGTGGACAGCAGAACGTAGCGACCAAAACAGCTGCAACCGGTTGTAAAAGGCCCTGTATCATAACGTTCCAAATAACTGCCTCCAGGAGTATACAATAACGATTGCGCAAGTTATCCGGACAGTCCAAATCGTAAACGAGTATCATATAGAGATGCAAAAGCACTGTAAATATAGGAATCCAAAGCGGCGCGGTCAGCGCTAATGCAATACTGAGAAAGCTGGTGGCTAAGCAAATCAACGGAAATGCGAATAATATGATAAGAGTGCCGAGAAAACCCTTAAAGAAATAATTCCACACCCGATTTAAGTTGCGCGTCAGTCCTTTGCCAATGAAGCCTACGAGTCGAAGAGAACAGGGATGGAAATTTCATGTAAACTAAAACAATGCAGAACTGTATGAGCTCACCAGTGTCCGGTTCCGTTTCGAAGTGTGTACGTGATTTTGATATGTGTCGCCAGAGTTCGATCAAGCGTGAGGCCATCGTCTGCGTGATGCTGGTCTTGCGCGGAAACAGAGTGCCATTGATTTGCGACAGCTCCAAGTCCGGCATGAACGGCTTCACACAGAAGAGCGCACGCAACCCTAATGGACTGCACCAGGGCACCAGTATGCCGAGCAGAAACATCATGTTCCATGTCCAACACCAGGTGCGTTGCAGTAAATTTAGTAAACGCCAAAGTGGCCAGCGCGTGCTGGTTGTGCGTATGATTTCCTTCTCCACCAAGAATACTGGCTGACTGGGATCAGATCGTGGCGTTACGATCGAGGTAGCCTGCTGACTTATTACTGTTGGTATCACATCCGATTGACCTTGAAAGTTGCGTCGTATTATCCAAGCACTCGGCGACCATATGCGGCAAGCCCATTGGAAGCTGCGCGTCGGAGTTTTCGCATTCTTAAGCTCTTTGAGTAGAACTGGTTCGCGCTCCTTCATGAATGCCAAGTCGCGACTAAGAAAATAGGCAGTTTGGTACAAATTATGTTTGGTGCACATTTTCAGCGCCTCCTCATGTGCCGACCATGCAGATTTACTGAGTTTGCTCTCCTCAGCTTTTCGCAATTTCGAGCGAAGCCAAGGCGCGACACGCGACAAAACCGAATGATCGTTGGCAAGACATTTCTGATGATCTTCGCGTGTACGCTTAATATCCTTCTGCACTTTGTCCATCGCCTTGTACATGAACACAACGGATTGTGCCTGTTGAACCAGAAGTTTAGGAATTCCATCACCTAGCTCCGCCAATTTGGGGTTCGAGAGTATGGAGGAGTAGACGCGTTGTAGGTATTCCTTCATAACCGCATCATTTACTTCCTAACAAAGATTTTTAGCATTACTATTAGCATTAAAATAAAATTCAACACTTGCTTACTTCCTCGATTTCCTTGTCGCTGAGCTTTTTGGCGCGCAGCTCTGCAATGAGGCGTTCGCGAAAGTGCAGAAACCAACCGCGTGTCTCGCGTTCTAATATGCCGATAAGCACCGGCAATGCTTTGCGCATGACGTCACGGCAGAACAGGCGCAAATCAATCTCCTGACCCTTGGGTGTGAGAAAGAGATACGGAACCGGTTGTATTACCTCGCAGCTATTGAAATCGAATTTTTCCATTGTAGCGCGACGCAGCATTTTGCGCACGTACGAACACAGCCCATCCAGACAGTCCTCGAATTCGGGCTAAAATGCAAAAAAGAAAAGTGAATTGGCGTATAAAATAACCGTAGTATTTTAGCAACTATGGCTACACTTACGCGACACACAAGCTCCGCGATTAGAAAGCGGCAGCGCTCTTCCTTGATTTTATAATCCAAGTTATGCGCGAGCAATGCCGGCACCCCTACAAAATAAGACAAAAACAATAATTAATATTTTAATCGTTTTTCATAATACTCCACGTACCGATAAACATATCGACCAGCTTGATGATACCATCTAGAAGCGCCTGCGCGGCGTGTACTACCGAAAAGAAGTGCCCAAAAATGCGCGCACGCGCCGTCACAACAATAAAACGTGCGGCCAGCGCCAAGTCGCTGAGGAAGGAATCATGGGCGCGCAATGTGCCCTTCTGCAGCAGCTGCGACAGTCGCCACTTATGCACTTGGCCGGGAAAGTGCAAACTGGGCACATCGAATTCACTGTGTCAAAAAGTAGAGAAGAGAAATATAAAAGGAAAATGCAAAGCAGAAGGAGGGCAGGGCAACAGCAGTATGTGGAAATCAATAAAACAAATCAGTTCCGGTGAAGTGCGTTACTAAAGTGTGGTGTTATGGGCGTAATATGGCGGTAGCGGCGCTTCAATGAGAGATGTGCCTTGGCATGCTGACGAACTACTAAGCAAAATCATAAGTGTACATGCTAAATAATTGCTTTATGGCTGCGTAGCTCCTAGTAATGTTCAGAACATAAAAAGGGAATTGCATTTTTATTTTTGTTGTTTTTGCTTTTGTTTTCTTATTTCCTTGGGTAGTTTGTATGCGTATTAATTTAAAGAGGAATGCGTGCCGCGAATGCGCAAAATGTCAGCGAAGAAATGTCAAACGCTTAGCGAGGAGCTTAGCAATTGGGTGAGAATGAGGAGCACACTGCTTTGTTGTGAGAGTGTTTTTGTTTCTTTTTTGTAGTTTTTTTTATTGGTGGCAAGCTAATTTTTTGCTTAATGGTACACAAATAGAAAGATTAAATGCTGTTAAGTGAGGTTAGGGAAATTATAGCGGGAATTTTCAACAACAGTTTACAATTTATTAGGAAATTATTTGTTTTAAACAACAATTTTAGCAGATTTAATTATTTTGGAAATAGGAATAGATATGAGTTTGGAAAATAAAAGAAAATTATATCCAGGGTAATTTATACTAAACTACTTGAAACATGCACATATAATATAATAAATAGAGATATGCATATATATTTCAATTGAGGTTATGTGGATTTCATTTTTATTTTGTAATAAAATGTGATAAAATTTATAATTTTAGGTTAGGTCGAAGTTGTTCTTAATCTCTAATTGTTATTCCCTCGAAACAGGAATAACTTAGGCATAATCAAACTTTAAGCACTATGTTTTAAAAATACCCCAAAATGTATCATCCTAAAGTTTATTTAAGTGGTTGTATCCAATTTCAAGTCAGAATAAACGCTATTTTTCGTGACTTTTTTTAAAATTTATTTGATAAAAATCGGTGATTCATTTTGAAAATTTATAAATTCCTTTGATCCCGGAGCACCAAAAAAAAGTTGGCGTTGAGGAAGATTTTTCTGCTTAAATTTATCTAAAATCCAAAAACTAAAAAATTTATTATTATTATTATTTATGCATGCAGGTAATGATCGAAGAACGACTCAAAATTTATATTTTTGATAACATGGCGGCCAAAAAAAGTGATTTGTAATAAAAATTTACGGTTAAGAGTGGCTTAAAAAATCGAAATTATTGTCGAAATCCTATTCCTTTCATCATTACCAGACAAATAAATCTAAGAAGGTTGAATTTTTAATTCAATCGGTTCCGCAGTTTTGGGGAAATTCTCCTCAGCGGCTCTGAAAACTGCATTTCGAGAAAAACATGCTTAAAGTTTAGGGAGCCGATTACATTATAGTAAGTTGAAATTTATTACAATACGCTCATATACTATTTGCCGAAGAATATTTTCAAATATACATTTGATATATGTAATTATAAGCAAAAAATGCGTTTTTTTGTTTAATTCGCAAGTGGTTATGCAACTGAAATACAGCAATGAGACAACTAGGCGAATATGGCAATATAATCGTTAAAAATATAAACTTTTAAGAGATGTGCACATCATTCTGAAACAACTCGATCTTCGATGATGCCCATAAATATCAGCGTTTCTACATAGAATTAAATTCATTTTAGCATAAACACATACACAAAAAAAAAACAAATATGGAATTGAATGTACATATGGTATATATGCACATATGTATGTATGTATGTATATTTTATTTTGTACATATGTAACGCAGGTATTTGATACGCAGCTTAATAAACACAACATTGAAATGGAAATTAATTGTTTTGTAAATAAAAAATTATTGAAAATGTACACAAAGGCAAATATATGCAAGTATGTGTGTATGAATATTCTGAATTTGTTCATTTGAACGGTATTTACCCATTTTTACGTATTGTTTCCAATTGTTCCAAAGTTAATTTCTTTGGCTTGCCGTATTTATCCTTTTGCAAGCTTTACGCGTATATTTTACAACATTTACAAATAGTTTGGATTATTTATTTTAGATTTTAAGAAAAACAGAAAAGAGATTATCATGATGATATTGAATACAGAATTGTAAAAAAAAAATATTATTTCTTAGGAAAAAATCAAGCACTGTACAATTAGTAAAATAAATTAAGGAAGAAAAGCAAAAATACGAAAAACAACTGTTTCTTAATACAAAATTTTGATTTCGAAAAAATCTTCGTAATTTGCATTGTTACTCTTAAAGGTGTGTAATGGTGTAAAATAAAAGAAAATGCAAATTGAAAGCGAATGGTCTAAGTATGAGTTTATTAGAGAAAATCTCTTCCAAGCCAAGCCTGCGCAGTGAGCTGACTTTAATGACTGTATGCTAAGCCGTGATTTTATTGATAAATTAAATTCAAACTAATTATTTATTTAATGCGAGTAATAAAAAATATTCAATATTCTGCAAAAAAATTACATTTTTTTTTAGCGCTGCTTCAGCAGCCAAGCTCTAGCTGATGCGCACATATGTATGTAAACAAATAAATTAACCCGCATTGTTAGCAATAATAATCAAGAGAATGCAAAAAAAGGGAAACAAATCTTTTGCACAACAACAAACAAAAATCACAATTGAAAATAACAAAACAAAAAAATAAAAATACTGAAAAAAAAAACTAAACAAAAAAGGAAAAAAATCACAAACTTAAAAGCGATTATAAAATCGATAAAGTGGCTCACCCAGACTCGCGCAATGACTTTAGCTGCGAATTGGTGAGGCGTCGCGGTTCACCGCTGCCATCCGATGCAACGGCATCCAACTCATCAAAGGGCGGCGCTATAAATAGGTCGCGCAAATTAATCGGTCGCGTTTTGTTGCGGTTACTGGCGCTGTTCGTTGCATTGTTGACGGTCAGTACTAGTGTTGTTGCGGATAGCGGTTGCGGGAGTACTGCGAAACCGATGACATCGTTGTATTAGCAAAGGAAAAACAAAACAAAGTAACAAAGTTAATCAGTGTGATCATCATCGTGTGTGTGTGGGTGTGTGTGTAGTTTGTGTCAAAACTCACCGATTGGGAAGGTTTTCCAATGATACAGAAACTGTTCGGCTACGTGTTTGATTTGTTCGACCAGCTGCTCGACTTCGGGCGGTGCGCCAACCAACTTAACCGTAAATTGTACAGGTTCACGTTCTGGGCCGGTCAATGATAGTGGACGTAGATGGGTACCGGAGGCACTGCCCGCTAATGGCAGCATTGACATTTTCTATCCACAAATTGTTTGAGTTTATTCGCTTTTACTTCTTAGCGTATGTATCGGTTTTTGACTTTGTTGATTTCGCTTAGTTTACGTTATGTTTCAGCATGTCACATACATTACCGATAATTATTGAATGCTTCATTTTGGCTATGAGGCGTAGATGTCATGGAGTTTGAAATGTGAGATTCGTTGATTCTGTAAAATTAAGAAAGGCCTTTATATAAAGAATATTTAATTAAATAATTTTTTTTAAAAATTAGGATTCCCTTAAAAAATGGAAATTATTATCAAAATCTTTTTTCTTCGATCAAATCAAATCTAAATTTTAGCAGAATATTTTCAAATATACATATGTACGAGTGCGCTCCAATGTTCATAGAAGACAACGCTACGACTACCGTCGACGTCATAAAACTATAATTTTTGGGAAATCTTAAGAAATGTAAGAGGATTAAGTATATATAAATATTTCTGTGATTTACTGATACAGAGGGCGACCTATTATGTACTTAGCTTAAAAAAAGGGAAACTATTGAAAAAAACCATTTATTTCTCAATATAATCTCCCTTTTAATCGATACACATGACCTAGAAAAGCTACTACTTTTATAAATCGTCTGGAACATATGTTTTTCGGAGAAGAATCAAAATACCGACCGATATCCTCAGGCGGTAAAAGAAAAACTAGGAGTCTAACTCGGCTAAATTGAGAATACACTCCGTTCCTACCGCAGGCGGGTCTACAAAACCGCAACTGGGCTTCGATTTTTATACGACCATGTGCTGTCAACTCGACATATGTATGTATGTTCGTACTCTGTTTGTTTCTACAGTGATACTTTATGATTTTAACCGTTGGATTTCTTCTGGTTGAAAATACTAAAAAAATCTAACAATAAAAACAAACAGCTGTAGTGATCAAGTGTACGTACAAGTGCTGGAATTGCGGCTTTTGGAATAAATCCAAATTAAAGACATCAAACGCTATTATGGCGGAATTCTTGATGGAATAATAAACAACAACAATATTAAGACCGACGGCAAATTGAAAGTGAAATATAAAGCGGACAAATGCACACATGTGCGAAATCGCCATGTGAATATACTCGCGAAACAATCTTTTTTGGTTAAAAAGTGTATAAAAAAGATAAGAAAATTTTAAGCAGCACACCTTGTGCGAAATTTCGAAAAATTATTTTTTTTCTTCTTGCATGTATCGATAGTCTATACCTTCTAAATCAACATAATAAAATTTCAAATAATTTTTTGATTTACAGTCTTGTAAAGTGTACTAATCGGACTACGATGTTCTATAAATCTTAAAAAACCTTCCGCATATTACCTAAATATATGTATATAGTATAAACCAAGATCGCTGTTGAAGAAATTACAATTTCAACAAGTGAGGGATAGCCGCTTGAATAACAACAATAACAATCCAAAATTATATAAATAACAAGTTTTTGAATATTGAGAAATACGATGCGCGCTATATGGGTGGGGTCAAGAAGCCAAGTATTGCAGCACGTTTTTCTTCACTCGCGTAAACAAATTAAAATTCAGTATATGTATGTATAGAGCATAATTGTTAACTGATTAAAATTATAGACACTAAAAATATACATACATGTACAACAAGAAAATATAAAAACATGCAAATACATATGTAATATTATAATATCACAAAACCGTAAATACAACTTTTAATAATTTTTGAAGCAACTAAACTAAATTATATGTTAAAGCATGTACACACATTTGCAGAGTGAAAAATATAATATACATGAATACAACTTCTGGAGGGTATAAAATCAAAATTCCAAAATACTGTTTGTTTACACATTTTATTTTGGAGGCTGAAAACAAGTTTTATTAACGGCGGGATCAACTTTTGGGCATGGGCAAATGTGCGATACATATTTTTATATATTTTCTATGTACATTTACATATATTTCGAAGAAAATATGAATATATTATTAATATAATAATATATTATATAAACAATATATTATATAAATATTTGTTAATGCTCTTGAAAATTAAAAATATGTTCAAATATATTTATTAATAAGATAATACTATTATTCCATACTGTTCGGGGATAATTTTCAAGTTTTCAAACTACCAGGTTCATCGGTTAATATATGTCCTAATCGACATAACGTAAATTGGATCAAGTTGATATTTCAGGGGTCACATAGAAGTTAAGATATTATTCACATCAATATTTAGAATTTTTTTTCTCAAACATCACGTGAATGATCTCTTATAGGTACGTACATACGTAAATAGTATGCAAGGAATCACATAAAACAAACGTACAAATGTAATTTATAAATGATTTCTTCCTAAAAAACTACAATAAAATTACCTCAAGTAAGTGAAGTTATCGTGCACACAAAAATTTAACCATTTACACAAGTTCTAATATTTGTGTGGAACTTAGTTAGTATAGCATGGCGTCACCAACTTTACTATTAAGCCCTCGTCGCACTAATATATTCTTATATTGCAACTGTATTATTACATATAAGTTTAATTGTACATATTTACATACATATATTCATAATTGTATGCTCTTGCTTTTAGATCCAATCAATTCTTAAGAAATTTGGCTTTTTGATATAAAAACGTTGACAGTATCAAGAGCTACAAAATATAATTATAAAGTCAAAGTCAGGTACAAAATCAAAGAATAAAAACAACTCAAAATTTATTACTATGGTACATATGTATTCTTGTTCGTGGCGTAAGCATTAATATAGTTGTTGTTGATGGGCTGTATATTGAAGCTTTCGTTGTAGCTATTGCTACCATTGATGGGATGTTAAATCAACGAGTTAAATTTCGGCAAATAACTGCTCAGTATTTATAATTTATGTGTGTATGGATGTATGAATAGCGATTTAAATTAAACTTGTTGTGAGAACTAATTTACATACAACTCATAATTGAAATACTGTAAATGAAATTTGACCAGAGTACTGTCCAAAAATTGCTTCAATATTTAGAGTCTATACTAAATCTTTAATTTGCAACTCATTTTACTAAAGTAAATTATTAATATTTCTTATATATATGTATATAGAATGGAGCGGAAATATCTTTGTAACTCAGTTCGCAAATTCCACGGTATGACAGACAGGAATGTGATGCAGCGTAGTCAATTAATTTATTTATACGCGGAATGTGTCTGCGTACATACGAACAAGTATGCATGTTGTTGTTTTGCGTACTTTTCTACTTGAACTCACCGTTTTTGACGTGTGCGGTGCTCTACTCCCAATTACAAGCTCAAGTCTTTACAGCCGCCATCACCAACTATGCGGTACGTATTGCTTTCTCAGACTTGTAATAATCTTGCAGCCTCTTCCTGGCACGGTCAGCCGGTCTACCTGCAGATCAACGTACAATCCTCACTCGAAAGGTTTTTCTTTGAGAGTCTTTATATGTATTGTCTGTTCTTTGTAAGCTTATTTTTATTGTTGTAACTGCAGGCACTGTGCCCCCCACTTACACCACAAAATACAACCGTTTTACTGCATCTTACATTACTACTCCATTGTTTGTTGCATTTTATTTATATACATATCTATTTTTTCAGCCACTCTTATTATAGAAGGTACTTCCTCAAGTGACAAAAGGGATTCAAATCAACGAAGCAAAACCTAAAGAATCAGATTTCTTCACATTTTTCAAATCAAGATTGTATTTATTTTAACAGGCGCCCTATATTTTAATCGTCTACATATCTATATATCCTATTTTTAAATTAAAATTATCTTTTACAAGGCAGTATCACTTCACGGTTCTTTCCGTTTCACTCCACGCACCGCTTATTTCCTTTTTCAGTTCTACTCCGCTCGCCACTCCACTTTGCACAATTTTCATTCACACTTCATCTTTATTTCCACTTCGTGTTATAGATTTTTCCATTTTCATTTTTATTCTTTTCATGTTTCTTTTATAATTCAATACAATTTTTTTTCATCTTCTCAATTTTAATTAGAATTACATATATGTATGCCTATTGATTGTGGATATCTTTTAGATATGTTTGTTTGTTCTAATAAGTAAATTCTCACTTTCTGTTTAGAAAATATTGGAAAATGCTATTCTAGTCAGAATATGTGAACAAAACGAACTTACACACCGAGTGCACCTTTGAATTCTCTGAAAATCTCGGAAACACTGAAATGCAACTTTGTTCCTTCTTTTCGTTCGCCCGATTGTTTACAACTACGAACAGTTCAGAGGCAGGGTTGCTACTTTTTGAGATATGATGAATGGGCGTGCAATGTATATGAACACCATTTTACTTCAATCAATACAGAAAAACTGAGCTGTTTTTGCATAATTAAACAAATAATCTCTATAATAAAGTCTAATTAATCCGTATGCTAATTTGATGCAGGAAAATACACAATTCATTAACTAGAGAATTAAACTATTTATATTTTGTGTTTTTATAAACATTTTACTGTGAATTATTTTATCATATTTAAGTAAGAACAAGATGTGAAATTAAGCTGGCTTCAAGTCTACGTTTTATCAACTGAAATACATATTTCGTATTTAAGAACATTGTATAATCCTATATATTTATACAATGCATTATTATGACTGAGATAGCGGTTGTAAGTTTAATGGATGTAAGCTCTCAAAGTTCCGTTGAGCATGAAAGAAAAGTTGAGTGTAAGGATGAAAACGCGTCAATTACACCACAAAATCATCCTAAACGAAAAGTAGGTAAGAAGGCTGCAACAACACTTGGCAAAAGAGCATTAAAGTCCACAGAAGAAATAAAAGTCGCTACTCAACTAACAGTTATTCCCAACAATATACAAACGACGACGAAGAAAAGGACTACAAAGTTTAAAGATCCACCTGCTAGTCAATTGCGCATTGATAGCTATTTCAAAAGTTCTTCAAAATCCTACAAAATTGAGATTTCTTCAGTAAAGTCGGAGAAGTCGATTTTAACGGCGCGTGGAAGCAAAATTGCTAAAACTTCCCAAAAAGTTGATAGAGTCAGAAATAAAAAAATTAAAGGTCGAAAACGTTTATTCATAGTGGGAGACAATTGTAGCTCCACAACTGTTTCACCACCGAGTGGTTTCTTGAATAGTATGCCAACTTCAAAAGGAACCGATCTCAAACGCTCTACCTCTACAAATGCCACTCGTAGTTCTAATAAACCCACCAAAAGAAAAACAAAGCCATATTCACTAGAAGAATTAATAGATTTGTGTTCTGATGAAGACGGAGCTGCTGACTTAGTTACTAAGAAAGCATTTGTTTCATCCAGTGAACGAAATAAGTCTGCTGTAAAGGAAAAGTTTGCCGATGCATATGAGATGAATTGTTTAGTTAGTGATTATGCTAATAATGACTTGCACTTTGCAGCAATGGTGTCTATACCCATACAGAAAACGAGCGCTAAAAACGCCTCAAGAGATTTGAAAGAGATGGTTTACCATAGAGATTCGCATTCGTCAAGTTGTTCGACTAATAAGATATTGTTGCAAAAAAAAGTAAATACACCAAGTTCAAAGTGTAATAACAGTAATTTGGATATAAAAACAGAAGAAAACGTGATAATCATCAACAAAGAGCGGACGTCTTCAAAGTCGTTAGTGAAAGCTAGTATAGTTGCATCTGATAGAGTACAAGTTAAACAAGAACCAGAACTACTTGTTGCTTCAACGTCCTTATCAAACCTGACCAAAGAAACCAACAATAAGTTAAATAACCTTATAACTGGCGAAAAAAATGATTTACAAATAACGCCAATGGAGAAACCTTCCACTTCAAAAGGCAAAAGAGTTCGGAAATTTCGCGTTTGTCCGCCCTATAAAAAAGTATCTGGTACTACTTTTGCGGTTGATGCTTTCCAGTATGGACAGATAAGTGGCATTACACACTATTTTCTTACACATTTCCATGCGGACCATTATCAAGGTTTGACGCGCAAATTCGAAATGCCATTGTATGTGAGCCCGATAACTGGTGAGATTTTAATTTCACATCTTTGCTTCAAATGTAGGTGTTATAACATTTATTTATGTATTTTTTAGCGAATTTGGTGCGCGCGTTTATATCAGTGGAAAATAAATATATAAACGAAATAGAACTGAGAAAACCTTTAATGATTAATGATGTTGAAGTCACAGCAATCGATGCAAATCAGTATGTCACATTCTTCATGGAATATGAAATATCAATAACTTTTCTTTTTTCGATTAGCTGTCCGGGTGCTGTAATGTTTATATTTAAACTATCCACCGGTCGATGTATCATACATACTGGCGACTTTCGTGCCTCGCCTGACATGGAGTCTGATCCAATATTTTGGAATAATGACATTGATACAATATATCTGGATACCACATATATAGCCCATAAACACAATTTTGCTTCACAGTATGAAAGTATCGACCGAGCTAAGCGTATAATACGAGAATTCCACAAAAAGCGTCCAACAACACGTGTTTTGTATGTTTGTGGCTCATATGTGATTGGAAAAGAGCGTTTTTGGACTAACCTAGCGCAAGAGTTTAATTTGAAAGTATGGACAGAGAAGAATCGATTGAAAGCTCTGAAGTCAATGGATTTAGATGAAGTGCGTGGTTTGCTCTGTGATGATCCATATAAAGCAGAAATCCATGTGATATCGATTGCAAAAGTCAACTATCAGGTATGTAACCAATGTTTATAACATTATGGACATATGCTTTTTAACCCAACTTACCTTCTTCACTAGTCGCTACTCGACTATTTTCGGCCATTTAAACAGCAATACGATGCTTTGCTGGCATTTCGACCATCCGGCTGGGAGAAGAACAGCAAACCACAACTGGGTGGTGAAATAAATATCGTAAGCATTGAATACTCTGAACATTCGAGTCAGGCGGAGTTGGAACGATTTGTAACTTATCTCAAGCCGCGTGAGGTAATCAGTACAGTGCCCGTGATACAGAGTAATCCATGCATTACACCGAAGATACCAGAGAAGTGGTACAAATATGATAACCTTAAAAGTAGGCAACGCAACTTCCAGCCCTCCATCACTAGTTTTTTAAAAATTCGTCCTCGTCAGCTGGTACAAAACGCATCTACCAAACGCAACTCATATTGTGTAACACCTACAAGATCACCAGATTACATGCCCAACGAGTTATCGCAACTAAGTGTAAGCGCCATGGCAACTTGCATAGAAGTGCAACGAGATAATAAGGAGGCGGCGACGTCACTGAAAGTACCGACGGTAGTTACACTATTTCCTAGGTCAGATGCTTTAGAGGATTGGATGTCGTAGTTAAATGTGAGATTTGTCTGAATTCTGTTTTTGTCCGTTGTTTTCTCTACACTGTGGTACTGCTTTAATACAAACTTTGTCATAAGTTTAAGGTTTAAGTTAGCTTTACTTTTATATGAATTTTTGTATAAAATTAAGAAATAAAAGTTTACAAGAATTAAATCCAAGTATTTGTATTATTAATTAATACGTAACAGGGATCACTTTTTTGTACTTTAGTCCTAAGTTTCGGTTTCAACATAACTCATCTATTCGGTTACTTAGAACTAAAATGTACTGGTTGAAAGTGGACTCAAAGTTAGTTAGGAACTGCTTTACTTCACTTCCGATTTTATCGAGCAACCCCTTGGACTGCGATCTACTCTAGAGCAGTTAGACCTAATGTGAGCTCAGCATCCAGCTCCTCTAGTGATCACCTCTGGCTACTGGACGAAATAGCAGATATTTAATTAAATTCACTGAAATATCTACTGTTAAACTCTATACACAAAATGCATCCAAAAACTGTATTCTAATGGTTTTTGCAGAGATTGTAGAATGATAACAATTCTACATTCTCCGGTACTATTTTCTGAGTGGCTTTGTGGCAAACGTTTTGATAAAACTACATTGCAACACTGTTGAAATACGTAGGTTGCCTTTTATATTTCAGAATTAGAGAACAAAAACAAATGTTAATCATCGAAAATCGCTTTGCATGGGTTAGACCACTTTGCCGAAGCACTTTTGCCTCTGATTGAGGTATCTCCAAAACATGCCTTCTGAAAGCATCAACCGCCCTTTCAGGTGTCGAAAAACGTTGACCTCTTAGTTTATTTTTTACGTACGGGAATAAGGAGAAGTGATTCGGCGCCAGCTCTTGATTATACGGTGGATGGCTCATCAAATCGGTGTTTTGAGTGCTCGAAAATGCAGTTGTTTCAGTCGATGTGTGAGAGGTCGCATTGTCGTAGTCAAGTGAGAGTTACGTCTTCGGCTGTTGGTTTTCCTGATTTCTTGAAAGGCAACCAAATATTTGTGTACCACCCAGAATTTACTGTTCTGCGTTGTTTTAGTGGTATGTTTGCCAAAAAAATAAACACAACCATTTGCTTGGAAGTGCTTCGTGCTAATTTTGTTTGATTCGGCTCTTGAAACACCCATACAGTCGTCGTTGCTATTAACTTTCTGGCTCATATGCGTAAATCCATGATTCATCACCGGTCCCGATGTCAAAAACTTGTTTTGTAGCACTGCTATCGTATTTTTTTTAACATTTCTCCCGACTATCGACACGAGCTTTTTTGGGCGATTGATAAATTGTTTGGGATCTAACGTTAATAAATTTTAATTATAGTCAAATGTTGCATGTATGCTGGTCCCACTAATGCCTATAGTTGTCCCAATCTTACGATAGGTCACATGGCGATCGTGCAATAACTGTTTGCGTATAGCTTCAATGGTGTTTGGACGGTTTCACGAAATTCGTCTTGGAGTGATTTACGACCTCGATTGAATTAATCATACAATCGATAAACACTGGTCCACTGGTAATCCACATCGAAAGTTGTAAAAAATAATCGCGGGAAAATTTTCGCAGTTTAAAGCTATTTTTTGGCCGAGATGAATATTTTTAAGTTACTGTAAATAACACAAATAAAGCTCGTAAGTCAAAACGTTCTGAATATGCGTTACGATAAAGTTGTGAGTTGCCAGATTGCAACACTAGGGTTGCCAAATCCCTAAATATAAAAGGCGGCCTACGTATCTGTGAGATACATATATGAGTTTATGTAGATACATATGTACATATATCCCATATTTGAGAGAGATATACCTATTTGTATGTATTTGTGAGTAATGCTTTGACTGAAGAGCATTTGGCGCTCTCATCAGCAGCCAGCTGTGTGGCATAGACACTTTTGCCGTGTATATTTATTCAGACTGTATGGTAACAGCGCAGGTAGTATCTGTGAGTAGAGTCATTTGGCCACGAGTAAAAACATTGACTTTGGTCAAACTCTTTCAGGTTTGAGTTTAGTTTTACGAGATCTGCTGCCGTAAACGAACGTGTGCGTACGGATTAACGAAGAATTGCCAGAAATCGTTTTGTGGGCGTAACGCCGAAATCGAATAGCACTTGACTCGCGTATATGTAGTACGTGCGTATAGGTGTGTGCGCGCGGATTATATTGTATACGTTTGTTTTTTACTTTTCGCTTCGTCGTCGTTTAAAGTGCAACTTTTTTCTGTAAATATTTAGAATTTGCTTAAAGTAATTAAGAATTTTTTATTTGAGCGAGAAAACCTTCTGTTTTGCCTGGAGAGTGCAAAAGCAAAGCCAAATACAATAAATAGGCGAATGATTAAAAACGAAGTTGAAATTGCAACAATAAAAATTTTTTATTAAAAAAATAATAATAATCACATCTACTTAAATCCCGAAAACTGAAATATGTATAAAGTGTACACACTTAAAATACCAATGTTTTAGAAATTGTTAAATGTTGAAAATATCAATAGGAAAATTTTACTTAGAAAATTTATGTGTAGTGAAGAAATAAACATGCAAAGTGTTAGTGTTGAATTTCCTGTTTGAAATTCTTTGCTTACCTTTTTCTCCCAACAACAACTCGTTATACGGTATTCTTAGTTTTGGTTGCTGCTTACAGTGTTCAACTTGCCTAGCCAACTCCAGGGGTTTAAGTCAAATGATCAATACGACGACGCAACAAAGGTACTTAAAAATAAACATAGACTTTATAATTTAAATAATATGTTGAAAATACTCTACATCAACATATATACATACATACATATGTGTGTATATATATTAAGGCAAAACGAAACAAAATAGTAAAGGAAATAAGATAAGAAACATAAACTATTAGGGTTTTTTCTTTACATATTACTCTAATTTGTGTCCTGACAATTACAACCTATATGATCTACGTGCTTATGTAAATAAATAAATACTTGTATATATTGCTACAAATGTAATATTATTAATAAATTGCATGTGTTTGCCAACAACAAAATATAGCAAGCATGTATTACGTGTGTATGTACATATTCGATGTGTATAATCAATTGGACGAACATATGTATATACAATGTAAAATCAAATAGTTAGCTAGTTAGTCTTCCGAGGGGCTTGTGAACTGGGTAGCCAGCCGAAATTTGTTCATCAAACAGTCATTCTGTCAAGCAGTCTGTACGCTAAGCAGTATTACCAGAGAACGTAAAATATGGCTTACAGCGTTCTCTGGTGTTACCGTTTCGCTTTGGCTCTCGAACAGGCAGACGTATGTAAGTGTGTAACTGCGGGCATTAGCATGTATTTTTGTACTTACACATACTTGTATGTATGGAAAGTGTTTGTGTAGAACGCAAAAATGGTTTTTATTTGTATTTAGATGTTGCTGACAACGGAATAACATATTTACATGAAAAAATAAGGCTTTCCGCTTGGGGTTAGGGCCGGTCCGATACAATTTATCGCCCTAGGCAAATGCCAAATTCCAAGCCTATTTTGTCTTAACAACAAAATTTATAATTTTTGAAAATTATTAAGGTAATTTTATTAAAACGAAAACACTTATATTTCAAAAGTTAATTAAAATATTTTCGTGCCTTTAAGTTCGAAACATAAAAAAACACAAGTGTTTTGATACGAAAGTTTGCTGATTAAATAAATAAACTATGTACATATGTAAAGAAAATTAGCCAAAATGCCGCCAAAAAGTTAGGCAATTGCCTAACTTGCCTATACGGAGGGGCCGGCTCAGAGAAGGGTTCAAAAATAAATAAATACAAGATTATAATATGATTATTACCAATGATAGAATTTCGTTAAATTTTACCTGAAGTATTTTATAAACATTTTCTGAAATAATTGTATTATTATTCACTTAGAAGGAATCTAAATCGATATTAATGTTTTTCTGTATATACTTCCTTCATTCTTTTCTACGATTATTTTCAACCATGAGATCACACAGGATTGATTTAACTTTCTAATTAGAATTAAATTTTGTTTTGAAATACTCTTTTTATTTTGCTAAATTTTAAGAGCAAATATTTTTAACACTTTTGTAATTTATATATTCGTAATTTAGGCAATCAACTCTATTTATTTCTGTAAGCAGGAATGTATTTGCATATATTAAACAGTAATTTATATACACGTATTTAAAAAGCTTCGGCTAATTAGAAAACAAACTACGCAAGAGTGAGAAGTCATAAACATACAAGTATATACGCATTTATTTGCTTGTTTTGATTTTACTAGATTATATTAGCGTTCTTCAAAGACTGGGCACATAGGTATGTGATCGCTCAGAATAAAAAAAATCGACAATAAAAGTGTTTATTTCAAAGCACCATTCCATTCCAAGGTTTGCTTTTAGACTATATTATCTTATCACTTTGTTCTAAAACTTCCCAGAGACAAACCTTTGCACATCCTCAATATATTGTATAAAGAGCTGATCCCATAACAATCATCATTCAGTAAAAGTATTCATTAATTTAGTGTACTCAGTTTATAAGTATTGGGTCAGTGAAATAGTTTTAAAAGTGTTTGCTACTATTCACTATCCACAAACTAGCCTCGTTTACTGGATGTCATTGATTATGCTGATTAATCAGTGATGATGAAGGAGAGCCAAAGGTTCTGATGTTGTTCTCATCATTATTAATTGTTTCGTACAAAGTTTTATAATGTTTTTTTGGAAGGCAAGCGCGATATAGAAATTATAATACACTTTTGCATTAAAGAAAATGATGAAAAGTTTTCAATGAGAGTTTGTTCGGGTAAAGATGATGAGAGAGAGTGTGTGAGTGTGTGAGAGAAAAAATTCATTTGTAGTGTTGATGGATGAACGGATGCTGTGGCATCTAAAACTGTACAAACAAAAAAACAACAGACCCAACAATATGCGGCTGCAAACTTTGTAAGCATGTACAGAAAGTGTCCATTTATGTTCTTAAATGTTTTCAAATGACTTAGAAGCAATGAAAAGATGAACAGAAGATGAACGAAGCAAAACAGGTAGATAAACCGAATTAGAAATTAATGGATAATGATGGCACGCCGGCATTGGCAAAGACGAGAAATATAGCATAGTACAAAAAGCGAACAACATTTGTATGTATTTACAGTATGTATTAAAACCATTTGTAAATAGTTTTACGAAAGCGATGTGGAAAATAGACGCATTTTGCAAAGAAAAAAATAAACATACATATGTATGTACATATATTTTTTATAATACCAGGTGGCTGAACAAATAGGACTTGAAGTGAAGTGATGGTCATTTATAAATATATGAAAACCCCTTCGGAGGCTGGTATATTGTACTGGATTTGCTATGTTATATTCACGTTTACGAAAGTGCTGATCGTCGTTAAACATTGTCCATAATTTCTTTATAGATCTCGCGTGGCAAAGACATGTGGTTCATGATCCATTTGTAACAACTGAACAAAAACTTCAGTAAATGTTATAACAATAGCTATCTTTGGGTGTATTACTTTCTCACTTAATCATTGCGGGTCTTCAGTGAACAATTATGAGGTCCTCTTCCGTTGGTATTTGTGACACTGCGAGGCTTTGGTACTGAGTAATCCTGTTTGAATTCCTCGTTTTATCAGAGTTCCTCAGGCCAGAACCAATCTAATAACCTTACGGACTTCTAGATGACTCAGAATAACATTGCCGCTGTTCAATATACTTAATACTATATTAATCCAGCGAAGGCAAAAAAGATTATTTTCTATGGTTGAATTTGTATAACAATATAACTTTTTATTCGTGCAACAAGAATCATCATAGCCTTTCAAACGAGTCTGTTGGGTAAAAAGTAGATAGTACAACAAGTCAGCTGCTGGTACATATGTGTAGATATGCATGTGTAAGGACATTTATTGCACAAACGGTTGCTGCCACAGATATGTCGTTAGGTAAATCGTCGCAGCGCAACTAAGTCCACTAGTTTAAATGATTACAGCCAACAAGCGAAAAGGCACACAAATCCATCATTGGAAAGTTGTTGTGGTAGTGGCATATTCGTAAGCAGCAACAACAAAAGTTGCAATAAAAATGTCACATGCGATTTTATATAATGTCAGTGACACAGCAAAATAGTTTGCCGAACCGGCGGCTTTAATATTAGAACAACAACAACCACAAACACTGCACAACTGCTGTTGCGACTTGTTTTTGTTTTGGTGTTGTTTTGCCCAAATTTGAACTTTCGTTTTTCAGCATTCGCGTTATTTGTTGCTGTGATTATGTTGTGTTGTTGTAGTGATTGCTGCCAGTCGCGTTGGGGCGGCTGCAAATCTCTCGTCCGCGCCGTTGACTGCCTTTTCTGCCAACGCGCAGCTAGGTGCGCCGGCGCTGTTGAATGACTCTGCGGCTGCCCCATTATGTTGCCAAATTATTTTTCTAGTATTTCAACTTAATTTTTTCATGTGTTTTTCCGTTTTTGTTGCGTTTTATGTGTTTGATCGTGCTTGCGGTTGTTGTTTCATTTTTTAATTTGCCATCGCATGTCCATACCTGCCAAAGCTATGTGTGTGTGTGTGTGTATATTATATATAAATTTAGTTGTAAATTAGCTGCTAATTTAAAATCTCTAAAAGCTTTGTTTTTCTTATTTATGAATTTGAAGCACTTGTTGTGGTGGCAACGCTGTTATAGGCAATTGATTATTTATTTACAGTAAATAATATACAGCTTCTCCCAAGTTACTCAGTAATTTTTATTGCTATTAAATACGCGTTCAGTTTGTATAAAATGTGGCATTCAATGGCAAATATACAACATGAATTGTTCTTGTATTTGACGTCCTATTGATGTCATATTTTTATCAGGTGAGTATTTGACGTTTCTACCATACCAATGAAATATTTGTTTGTTTCTCTACTATAAAATGTTATGGTTAATAGCAAATTAATATGTATGCATGTTAAATAGTAATTTATTTCGTGTTTAATTACATCTGTTCACGGCGAGTCACAATACTGATTTTTAAATTCCTAGATATCTGTAATATTATACAGGTTCTCTGGTTTATTTGCCAGATTATACGTAGATCCACAATGGTTATAGCTTTAACTTGAGATGCAGCTGAAAATATTGAAAACGTTTTAGTTTATTCGAAGTGTGAAAAAAGAAAATTGTGCTTTTTCAGTTCTCATGCTTTGGCTTTTTGCATTTTGAATTCATTGTTTTTGTACTGCTTGCATTTTCCCTTGCGAAATTGGTTTTCATTGTATAAAGATAAGACTTTCAAGGGATCCGCCTGATTTTCCCACAACTGCGCTATATTATGTGAACGAAAACAATGCGTTTCAACGCGAATAACCCAAACTCAAGTATAAATAAATGGTAAATGGAAAATACGCGGTTAAAAGGGAGTAGTTAAATTAAAAAATATGATAGTAAAGCGTTCCACAGTGTTACCGCCAATGTTTAAATGGGGTGCCACAACTTGTCTCTACAGCGTTTATGTATATGTATGTAGGCATGGAATTTTGCGCGCAACTGCGATTTATTGCCAAAATTAGTGGCGACATAATTGTAACCATTAGATATAGGCTTATATGTGGTAGTAAAAAAGTAACGCATCAGCACTTTTGTTGTTTACTACACATTTGTTGTTGTACAATTGATAGTTATTGTTATTGAGGCATTGTTCCCTACCAATGATCAACTCTAGTTTAGTTTGG